TGTTTACGTGTAAAATGAAATACTACATTCCAAAGAAACAATATGTACCCTATTTTTATGGCTTTAATAGCTATTTTCCCGCCTAACTCCAATTTCTCTTGGTCTCCTTTATGTATCTGAACTCTTTCTTCTTATGCTGCTACTTTTTTTTTTTAAGAGGTTGTTCATAATTTTATCAAATGTATGAACTGTACATAAGGAAAGAAAAGGGCAGAATGTAATATACTAGGCACTTGCAGAGTTAAAAAAATTATGAAAAAATCTTATGTCATGAATTTTGTCTCCATTTTTAAGTTTTTGGGAAAGTGGGGGAAGATGATTCTACAAAAATGTTTTTGTACTCTTATGAATAAATAACCCCTTGGTCTTTTCGCCAACCATGAGATTTTTAAAAAAAAGGAAAAAAAAGAAAAACGTAAAAAGCTGACAGGGTTGCATTGCTGGCTTCATTCATTCTTCTCCAACAGATCCCAGATGGTCATGATGGGCAGCTGCTTGATGGTTCTCACCACCTGTGGAGCATTGCAGGGTTCATTCTTACTATTACCAGTGAAGGAAACAGTAATTGACAACATCAATAAACTGATGACACATCTCTACAGGCACATCTTATCTAGTGCAAACAATGCTAGCTCCCAGCTGTCTCGGTGCTCAAAGGAAGTTGGAACTGGATGAAAGCCACCTGCATAAACTAAATCGCAGAAAGCTGTTGATATTAATGATAAGATACTATTAAACTCATCCCCCCAATGTTCAAACAAGTGAAGGCATGGAGGTGTTCCTGCTGGACTCATTGCTCCTGAATATCCAAATGGCATCAGAAACACTATCTTTCATTTCAACTGACAAGGAGATCTTTGTTCTGGTAAAGTAACATAACCCACAATGATCCAGGCTGAATTACTGCCATTCCCTCGCTCTAATACTGAAGGCAACTATCATATGAAAACTTCAACTAGCTCACCTACTGAATCAAAAAGACTAAAGAGTCCACATATCACCAGTACTTTGCACCCTAAATAGCTCCTCATTCAACTCTTGATCCATTTCAAAGTACTGTTTTTTCTCTTTCTGAGACCGTGTCTCCCTTCATGACCTACCAGAGCAGTTATGATTGACCAGAGGTCTACAGCAGACGAGCCCCTGAGTTGCACTCTGGGTTAAGGTGTAGCAGAAGGTCCTAAACTGTGGCACACATTTCCTATGCTCTAATGGCAGAGTTCTAGTCTTGTCAAGATTTGAGCAAGATACAAAGATCCAACTGTTTAAACAGGCTTTCCAACAATAACAAAGTAGCAGAAGAGCCCAACCGCATTCTCCTGGGTAACAGAAATCAACAACTAAAATAAGGGAAGAATGAAGAAGAATTTAGGCCTATTTTGTACAGAATTCACTCTGAACCAATGTTTTAACCACCACCTACATATCACAATGATGGGCACATTAGAAGTAGGAAGAGAGGAAAAAAAAACAAGACTAAACATTTATTTTATTGCTTTCCTGGTTCAAAGGGCAACTTTTATGTCAAATTACAATACACTGACATTTTCATTGCTAATTTACAGACCCCTGAAGATACAGTTTTAGAATGTCTATTTTGAGAATCTTAATGGAAGTTTTGTTAAAATACTATTACTCAAAAAAAACCAACCTAAAACCATTATGTTGCCAGTGCACATTACAGATGCAGAACAGAGGCAAAGAGAGATTGAGATCAAAACTTTGCACTCATTTTGGGTGCCCAATTTGAGAGTAGGACCTAATTTTTCGTGGTTTAATCACAAGATCATCTTTTATCTTCCTGCAATCCCTTGACTCATTTACTACACATCTTCCAACTTACATCTTAGCAACAAACAAGGCAAGGGTCTTACAGACAACAACCTCCTTTTCTACACAACTCCCAGAGCAGGTCTATCCTGTTTACTGAACAAGGCAAGGGAATGCAGGAAGGGAAAGAACACAAAAAGTGGTCACATAATAAGTAACAGTTACTAACCTGTTCCATAACTGTTGTTCTTTGAGATGTGTGGCACATGCCCATTCCACTTCAGCTGCGTGCATGCCCAATGCACAGCTGTTGGAGATTTTTCCCTCAGCGGTACCTGTTGGGGTGGCGCACGTGCCCTCTGCTACTCTCATGCTGCTGCGTGATGGTATAAAGTGTGGAGCTGCTCCAACCTCTCCCCAAGTCCTTCTTACCGGACAGAAGCTGATACAGAAGGGCTGGTGGTAGAATGGACACATGCAACACATCTCAAAGAACAACAGTTAGGGAACAGGTTAGTAACTGTTTCTTCTTTGAGTGACTGCACATGTGCATTCCACTTCTGGTGACTCACAAGCAGTTCAATCTTTATTCAGGTAGACTTCGATCCCACCCTCAGATGGAAGGACCACATGTTCAAACTTGGCATCATCTCTAGATGCTGAGACACTGCATTCTCCAAAGCAGTCATCTGCTCAGGCAGGACCATTGGCTCTGGCACAGCCCTGTTGAGATTAGATGCCATCTTTCCGTGCCTCTTTCTCAGTATTGGGGAAGGAGTATGGACCCAAGAATTAGCAAAACCACAAGAAGCACTTCTGATGGATGCAGATGTGTTTGGTACCCACTATGAGTGAGACGGCTCTGAGGATGAGTGTAGCAGAAACTTAAGCCTGGCATCCATGTCCTTCTTGACTCAAAATCCTTGCAAGGTAGGCACCAAAACATGGACCTGAGTCTCCCCAAGACACTTCAGGCAACTGGAGTGTGCGTCACTCACTGGAACTGGTTTCTTGCAGGAATGGCAGGGCTTAAAACCCAGTGACTGAGTCATGCCCCGGCAGAGGTAGCAGTACCCAGGAATGGGTACTTCTATAACTACCTAACACTATAAACTACTAAACCAAGGAAAAGACTTGTGATAATAAGACCACACTCTCCAACAACCATCACGGATGGTAAGAAGGAACTGATGGGGTTGGGGATGGCTCCGTCCTTTATACCATTGCACAGCAGCATGAAGGAACAGAAGTCACCTGTGCTGCCCCGATGGGCACTGCTGAGGGAAAATCTCTGACAACAACTAGATATCTACAGATTGTGTGGGAACGCACACACCTGAAGTGGAATGGACATGTGCAATCACGCAAAAAAGAAGACTATCATAATGCATGTGCACAATGGGGCTGAATTAAAATTATAAGCAACCTTAATACTGGCACTTCTTAATTGAGTGATTGACTTTGAAACCTGAATAACGTTCTTTTAACAGTTTTTTACTGTTTAATTGCCTAGGTTTCCTAAAAAAACAAACTGAAAGAAATATTCCAAATGTGATACCATACTGACACCCATGTGGTTTATCAGAAGGGTTGGAACATGTAGATCCAGTACACAGACTTCTGGCACTTAAGCTAAGAGAGAAACTGATAAAAATAGTTAGGTTGTTAATCACTACATTGACCAGCACTAGAGCGGGAGAAGACACACACTTTGCCAGTACGTTTCACATATATTTGCTTACAGCAGTGGAATGGTGAGATTCAGGAAACGTGGGTTCCATTCCAGGCTCTGGAAATGAGTGTGCTTTAATGGGCACAGACTCTTCTACCTGTTTCCCTCAAGCTTAATGCCTTCCCTGCCCTATCTGCTCCCACCTTTCCCTTTCCCACCTCACCTCCTTGCTCTAGTCCTATTCTCTTTGTCTATCCTAGTCCCTGCCTCCACTACTCAGGGTTCACATCCAAGTCCCAGTTTCTTCACCCAGCAAATCCCAGTTCTCCCCCTGCACCCCAATACTTTTTCAGATCCATCTTCTCTGCCCATTACGATCCCCCTCCCCCACAGGTTTAGTTCCAGTCTCCTTGCCAGAACAGCCCTAGTCTCTCCCTTCCAACTCCCAGTCACAGTTGCTCTTCCTCCACCACCCTTAGTTCCAGACTCCTATTCCTTTCCACCGCCCAGTCTGGCTTTTGTCCCTTCTGCATTTGAATCAGACCAGCTTCCTTCTCCACACTGCCTGAGTGCCCACAGGGGGGACATTGATAGGACAGGGGGCACAGACACTCCATTCTTAGTTCCAGTGCCCAGCCCAGAGCACTGGGAGCAGACATTACTGGGAAAGTCTGGCTTTGACCCTGCTGCCATGCGCTGAAGTATATTCTGTCACTCTGTGGGGCTGGTGTATGTGCAGTCCTGTTACATACAGAAGCTGTGAGGAGCTGGGGCATGTTTAGTTGTTCTGTGGAAATGGCACATGTGCAGTCCAATCACACACAGGAGTTATGAGGGAGGGAGCGTGCACTCTGGTCAGCACAAGGAACTGAGAGAGGCTCAAGTATGCTCAGTGAAGATATTTAGCTCTGGTTCTAAAGACAATCTGTATTCTGGGTGTGAGGATCACCCTTCAAAAATGTAGAATATTTGTCTGAATAGCCAGTTCCAACAAATATTCCACATCTGAAGAAGTCTGGTCTGCTTTTCCATTATAGGTGATTTAAAACTAGAAAAATCTTATCTTCATTTTGCATCCCAGTTCAACTTCAAAGCAAGAATATGCTTTCAACATTCAAGCCTATCTAAAACTAAACTTACACTGAGAATAGATATGTAGGCAATGAATCTAACAGGGAAAAAGGGAATGTGATTATACACCAACATTAATTTTTGATAAAATTAGAGTGATACAAAACCAGTAATAGCACTGAAATGTACAATTAAAAGCAAAATGTGCTGTCCTATAACTAAGCTCAGTACAAGGCACAATAAGACAGACTTATGCTGTAGTTATAGTATTCCAAGTGTTTGTTTTAATTGTAATACTATAAATGGAATGCTGATTTTTTAAATGAACTTGTGTTTTCCTTTTAACTAATAAATATTATAGTTAAAAGATTTAGTAGTTATGAACAATAATAGAGCAGTTTATATAATTTTGGATAAGAGTTCAGAGAACAATGTGTTACGGTAACATTAAGGGTTGAGAGAATTGCAGGGTTAAAGAACATCTTACCTGTTTTGAACAAACCAAGGAAGCCATAACGCATAAGTGAGGTGTCAGAAACAGTTTCAGTCTCATAATTAAAATACCAAGTACAGTATATGCCAATAGCTGCAATGCATGGTATACCAGCTGCCAAACAAAAAAACAACCACATACACAAAAGCATAAGCTAACATTTTGATACATTTTCATTTGATATTCAAAATACATTTTGAAAAATACAAAACTTATTTAAGAGAATTTTTATGTATTGCAATGTAAAATAATCTTCCAAATTTAAGCAACGGCAATGGTTAAGTAGGTTTTTTTACTCATCCTCCCTGAGGATTGTGAGGTTTTTTTTTTTTTTTTTTTTGTTTTGTTTTTTTTTAAGTATGCTTACATATGGATAGAGAAAGGAAGGAGGAAAATTGGGTGACCAGACAGCAAGTGTGAAAAATCAGGACAGGTGGTGGGGGGTAATAGGTGCCTATATAAGAAAAAGCCCAAAAAATTGTGACTGTCCCTATAAAATTGGGACATCTGGTCACCCCAGAGGAAAAGCAGCATAGAAGGGCTAGCTAGAGAGATGGCTGGATATACAGGAGGGCAAACTGCAAGGCAGGCAGGCAATGATAGATGTAATGTTCCCTGCATGACCATCTCCTACCTCACAGGCAGGAAGAGGCTTAGTTATTTAACATACAGTAACTCCTCGCTTAACATTGCAGTTATGTTCCTGAAAAATGTGACTTTAAGCGAAATGATGTTAAGTGAATCCAATTTCCCCATAAGAATTAATGTAAATAGGGGGGGTTAGGTTCCAGGGAAATTTATTTATTTATTTATAAATAAATATATATACACACATACACACACACACACACACAGTATAAGTTTTAAACAAACAATTTAATACTATACACAGCGATGATGGTTGTGAAGCTTGGTTGAGGCGGTGAAGTCAGAGGGTGGAATATTTCCCAGGGAATGCCTTACTGCTAAATGATGAACTAGCTTTTGGCTGAGCCCTCAAGGGTTAACCCATTGTTCATGTAGCCTCACACTCTACAAGGCAGCAGGAATGGAGGGAGGGGAGACAGCATGGCAGACAGAGACACACACCGTGTGTGTGTGTGTGTGTGTGTGTGTGTGTGTGTGTGTGTGTGGTGCATTGCCCCTTTAAGTACGCTGACACCACTCTAAGTACACTGCCTTGTTAAGTAGATCAGCAAGTTGAGACAGCAGCTGCTCCCAGGAAGCTCCCTCCTCCTGAGCCCTGTCATGTCATCCCCCCCCCCCTTATGGAGATGGGGTAAGAGGGGTGCAGGAGCAGGGGGAGGGGGACGCCCTAACATTAGCCCCCCGCTTTATCCTGCGCAGCAAGCAGGAGGCTCCCGGGAGCAGCTCCAAGGCAGGGGGCAGGAGCAGCACATGGCAGTGGGGGGAGGGACAGCTGAACTGCAGGCAATTGATAGCCTGCTTGGCGGCTGCTGCACAGGGAACTTAGGGGAGCAGGGAGCTGATGGGGGGCTGGCGGTCCACCCTGGCTCCAAGCCCCCCCCCCCAGCTAGCTGCATTGGGTTGCTCTTCCTGCAAGCAGTGGACAAAGCAGGCGGCTGCCAAATGACTTTATAAGGGAGCATTGCACAACTTTAAACAAGCATGTGCTCTAATTGATCAGCAACGTAACAACAAAACCATGTTAACTGAGACGACTTTAAGTGAGGAGTTACTGTATCTAAAATCCTTAGTGATCCAGAGATGAAAGGTGTGACAAATACAGTTGTCACCATTACTAAATTGTGCAACTAGTGACAAGCACAGTTATTTGTAACACAGTGCTCTGATATTCTTAAAATCAAATATCAATAAGTTCAACTCAGAGTATCAGTGCCAGACTCTTATCTCTTGACACATATAACCTCAGACACACATTACCTGAGGAGAACTTGTGATAAAAATGCAGCCACTCCAATCAATATATCTACCTATTTGAATCATTTTAATATTTTTGGATGAATTAAGATGTTTCTAAAGAGCAAAACAGCACAATGCCTCTAAATGAATCAGGAAAATAAATAATTGGGTGCCAAGCAGCTCATTAGGAAGCTTTTTTTTTTCTTTTTTTCTTTGCGCATGGAAGGAGATTCCTTCCTCCAAATTGGAAGCAATTGTCTAAGGGGTGTAGGCTTATTGGAAGCTATTTTCTATGTGCTAATCCCTAGATTCTAATTAGTTTTCTAACTGTAGTAAATATGGAAGGATTTTGTACTTCAATCTAGGCTTCCTCAGTGCAAACTTAATTTCCTCAGTGAATGCTTAATTTCTAGTGATCTGACCCCTCATTTTACCCTAGTCTTCAATTGGCCTCCTGGACTAACAAATTTGAATTTAGGGATTTGAATGCCAAGATGGGATATAAACGTGTCTACCTAAACTTTGATGGCTCCACCCATCATCAAGCAGATGTCATATTAAGTGGGGCTGACTTTTTGAACTTAAAATGGAAAAAAAACTCAAAGAAAAGCCATCATTCAAGAATAACAAAATCAACCAAATACTGAAAAACTGACAATTACTTACATTAATAAAGTGTTAGGAGTAACTGACAAAGAGCAGAGACTAAAGTAATAGGCTTAACTACCACACACAAATCCTACAAACAAACAAGACTACAGAGGTAGTCTTCAAACGTGTCAAGAAAAAAATGAAAGTTGGAATCCAGGATATTCTATTTATATCATTAAAACAAAGCGTAAGGCTTTTTCCCCATTACAAATAGGAGGTCTTTTGTATGTGTTGTTTTAAAGAAGTTATTCTGGTGACACGAACCAAGAAGTAGGGAATTAGACAAAAAAAACTAAACTTTTGAGAACCATCATACAGAGATAATTCTCATTTAAATTATATTAAAAATGTACGAGTACTTATTCAAATTAAGGAGTCACACATGATATCATAAAGATGAAAGTCTTACCTCACCATGGTTAAAATGATCCTCTCTGGATAAAAAAGAAAAACCACACAAATACATTATTTGTTTATAGCACAGAATCATTAATATGTCCCACAGAAGTGCACTAGTTTCATTTATGAAATGAGCTGATAAATATGTATCACTTATATAGCCCTTTTCAGCCACAGATTTCAAAGCTCTTTACAAGTTGGATAAATATCTTTGTCCCATATTTATGTTTTGGCTTATCTCCAATGCTGAAAATGCACTTTAATACTTTAATTACTTCTACAAACAATCTTTAGAGCAGATTAGCTATTTGGACACAGAGCTAGAAACTCCCTAACAAAAGATAAGTACACAGAATATGTCCTACTATGTATTGTTAAAACAAGTCAACCATTTATTTAGTTATGACATGTATGGTTTCTGGCTCCTGAGGAGGAAACCGTGTAAACAAAACATTGTTTTTACAGCAACTTATAAAGCTTGTTGAGACCTTAAAAGAGATACTTCCAGAGAACCTTAACTTTGCTATTGAATTATTGTAAATCTGTTTCCATAAACTGATGCACGTATGCCTAATGTTCTTGCAGGATACTTGTGGAAAAAAAATCCTCAAGCTCATGAGTTTCATATTTGTTAAAAATCTGATAAAGACCACATGAGCAAACAAACAAGTCCCAGTAACGATCTATGGAAAAAAGAAGACAAAAACTCTCAGTGTAGCTGAATGTGTAGGATGAAGTGACAAAAATCTCCTTGCCTAATTCATCACTGTCATACGTTAGTATCAAATACTGGTTCCAAAATGGATTTAATGGAAAAGAGCAGATAGTTATAGACATAGATTATTAATCTTGGTTCTGGATAAGAAGGCAATGATTCCTCTGGAGCGAAACACCAGGTACTCAGTACTTTAAGAAGCATTCAAAAGTGTTTCAGCAGCATAACAAATAATGAGGATTTGACTCTATCCTCTCTCAACCCCATGTTAAATTTATTATCTATCCAGAGGAGAAAGTTAGAATGCAAAAGCTGACAGAACAGAGGTACATATTTTGCAATCAGAAAAGGACTTTGTGTTAAGAAGCTCTTCAGCAGGGGAAGTTTGTAGTTTTCGTTCTCTGATCTGTAGATGCTGCTCATTCTTTATTCTGAGAAGCAGATCACAGGAGAACCGTGCAACCCTAAATGAAGGCAGCTTAGGAAATACAATGAACATTTTATAGGAGCACTTCCTACAGATTAAACCCAAATATCTTGGGGTTTCTAACTTGAACCTGACACCCCAGAAGGAAGGATGAAGATGATGTTTACATTCACTGTTTGCGGGAGAGAAAAGGAAGGGCAAAGGAGTAGAAATATTAGCCTAAGATTGTACAGCAATCAAACAGAAAGTATAGTAATTTAACTTATCAATAAGCACAAATACAAATATTTTGTGAATGCTATACAGTGAAGGGAAAACCAGTTCAATTTAGTGAATGGCAAACAGCTCTCCAAAAACAGGTCAATACACTATTTTGGAGCTAACGAATCTGGCATATATCAATTAAAATGAAAAAAAAGAATCCTAACATTCGTTTTGTAGCAAAAATGAAGGCTATTTACTGGTAACCACAGTTCTTTGAGACGGCTGTGCATATTCACAGTTACTGGTATTACGCCACCTAGTGGTTAAACCTTCTCCAAGCAATGTCCCTTGGAGTGCTCTCTCAACTCCTCCTTCAACACCTTCTGCTGAACCGCTCAGTGTTTCTGAACACATTCTAAAGGCAAAGCCATAAAATGGGGTGCAGCACCCTCTACCACCTCAGTTCCTTCCATCACCAACCAAGAGATAAAATGAGGGCTCTGGTACAGTGCCACCTTGAAGAACTCCAGTTACAAGTAAGTAACGAGTGGCTCTGCATATTTCCACTTATGGGATAGTATCATAAGCAGTGCTGAAAATAACCCAGAGGAGGGAACAGAGTTCTAATTGAATACAGACTGAAGCAAAGCTCTACTAAATCTAGCATCAGCCCTACAGGCCACATCTAGAGCATAATCCTTATTAAATGTGTACAGAACTCCAGGTTGCAGCCCTGCAAATTTCAACAACAGTAACTTGTTTAAGGCAAGCAAGAGAAGCTGCCACAGCTCTAATGGAATATGATTGTAAGTACAAGAATTTCTGCTACCATGTAACATTCAACAATACATTGTTTAATCCATCTACAAGTATTCTGGAAAGACACCATACAACCCATGTGATTCTTAGTGTAAGACATGAATAATCTAGGTATTTTCATGCAAGAGCCCTTCTTGCATCGAAAGTATATAAAGGTGATTCACCCTCATTAGCATGTGGCTTTGGAAAAAATACCAACAAATTAACACCACTTTTGGAAAAATCCTGGGATTCGGGCCTAAGAATCACCTTATCTTTATGAAAAGAGGTGAATGGTGGAATGTAAAAGATCAGCCATCAAGGTATTTAATTCACTCACCCTTCTGGCTGATGTTATGGCAATAACAAATGATGTCTTAAGAGATAAATAATATAACAAACACTCGGCTAAGGGTTCAGAACATGACTTCATAAATGTAGCCAAAACACAAAATGAGATCACAAGGAAGAAGAGTAGGGCCGGGCAAACTGGGCCCACGGGGTTCGGGCTTCCCCTCGCTGGCTGCGGCGGGACTTCACTTGGCCGCAGCGCAGACTCCTCCTCTCCGGCCCCTCCCCAGTGCTGGGCTGGCAGGCTTCCCCCCGATCCCACCCTCCTGGCCCCTCCCCTCCGCCCACTCACTCAGCTGGCCATCTGAGGGCTCCAGTTCCATCCCGCCCCCCACTCCCCAGGAGCCCGGAGTGGCGCGGACCATCACTGGCGGCGTGGCAGCCTGGCCGACCACCACCTGGAGCGGAGCAGAGTCCCTCCGACCCTCCCTGCCTGCGCTGCTCGGTCTCCGGCAGGGGCAGGGCCCGGGGCCAGGAAAAACTCTCTTTCCATGTGACGTGACATGTGAGTGAGCAGGGGGAACCCGCAGGGCCGGGCAGGACGAGAAGGGGGAGCCGGGCAAGGCTGGGAACAGAGGGAGGAAGGGATACCCGGAGAGGCTGGGAAGAAAGTGGGAGAGCAGAGAGGAGCTCAGGGGGTAGAGCCAAGCAGGGACTTCAGGGAGCGGGTGGGGGGGATGGGCCGGGGAGGAGGAACCAGGCTGGGAGGAGCCTTTGAAGTCTGAATGGAGGTGGGGGGGGGGGGCGGATGAAGAGAGAGACAGGCGTGGAAGGGAAGGATGGAAACAGTGAGGTTTCCTTGCTTTATTCTCTTTGTGCTGTTACTTGTATGTGTTTAGGACTGATGAATTGCTTCCTTTTCTTATTAAACTGCATGTCCCAAGCACCTCTTTACTTTTCAGGATTAGCGAGACATGCTATTTTAGGGAGAATGAAAGGCCATTCGGGAGGTGATGGCCCAGAGCAGTGGCAGGCAAGGGCCTGGATGAGGGCTGGACTCAGCCATTGGTATCAGCTATTTCTTTTTTTGTCATTCAAATGGATTTTGGGTCATGGCTGACATCCCAGCCATCATGTAAAACGCTTCCCTGTGGCCTTTTGACATGCGCACAGAGGTATCTCACTGCCAAGTCCCTATCCTAGGAGGGGAGGAAAGGGGAGGGGGAAGGCTGCAGGGTCATGTCCCACCTCCGTGCAGCCAGTGGCCCATGCTTGCCACTGCCATGCTGGAGCTTCCACATTTATTTACTGACACATAAAATTTGCAGAATTTTAAAATATTGTGCACAGAATTTTTTATTTGTTGGTGCTGAATTCCCTCGGGAATATGGTGTGCTGGGTAGTTGTGGTGGGGGGGCTGTGAGAGGGGCGATGGGCAGTGGGGTGGGGGGTCTGTGGGTCGGAGGGCACTGGGCATAGGGATCTGTGGTGGAGATCTCTGGGTGAGGGGCCACTGGGCATGGGTGTTGCTGGGCATAAGGGGGTACTGGGAACGGGAGGGCGGTGTGGCAGGGCACGCTGGCAGCGCAGGGCTAGGGGCGCAGGAGGGAGGGAAGTGCAGGGGCTGGGGTGAAGGCGGCACTGTGCAGAGCTTAGGGGCAAAGGGGGCACAATGCAGGGTTTAGTGGCAAAGGGGGTGCAGGATGGGGATGCAGGGGTTGGGGAGCCCATGAACCATGCCCCCGGGGGCGCCAAAACACAAGTTCGCCCAGAGCGCCATTTTCCCTAGGACCGGCCCTGAGGGGAATACACATTAGACAAGACCTACATAAATTTCTTAACTGTGTTATACAGGAAAATAATCTACCATTAACTAAAAAATGGTAACCAGAGATAGCTGCCCAATGAACTTTCAAAGATAAGTTAGATAACCCTTCAGATTTTAAGTGCATTAAATATTATAAAATACAAGATATAGAAGCTGAGACAGGAGAATCAGATTTTTCCCTCATCCAAGCCACAAACCTGGTCTATTTCAAATGGTAGCACCTTCTGGTACAGTTTTCTAGAGTTAAGAAATTTGACTACTCATGAGTAGACAGAGTCTAAGTCCAATTGTCCATCCAAGCCATCAGATGAAGGGACTGTGGATCCAAACTGAGAATCTGAGACAGCAGATCTGGAGACAAAGGAAAACGTATGAAGGCCCCACCAGACAACTGAAGGAGATTAGTAAACCACTGCTGATGCAGCCAAACTGGGGCAATGAGAATTATCTTTGCCCCATCCTAACATATCTTCCTCACTACCTTCTGGATCAAAGGAAAGGTGGAAAGCATACAGAAAATTCCCCAGTGCAGAAGGAAGCATCTGATATGGATTCACTGTTCTTGCCTGCTCTGGGGCAGAAGAGGCAACACTTTCTGTTGAACCTAATTGCAAATGAGTCCACATCTGGGTGATCCCAACTGGAAAATATGTCCTAAATCAACTGATCCTTCAGTGGCCTTCATGAATTTTAGAACTGTTTCTGCTGAGACGATCTGCAATTACATTGTTCTCTCCTGCCAAATGCAGAGCCACAGAATAAACGTTGTGAAGAATGCACCAGTTCCATAATTTGATTGTCTCTGCACAAATGAGAGCAGAATAAACACCCCCGTTTGTTGACATAATACATAGTTGCACAACCCTCCCATGTAAGTGAGGGAGGAATGATCTGAGGGACAGATTGATGTGTTTCATCTCCAAAACAAGGTGCAAGCTTCTCTTTTGAGAAATCCAATGACCCTGAATTGTAAGATGACTCAGATGCACTCACCAACCATTGTTTAACACATTCAAAATTACCTTCACCAGTAGACTAGATGCTCTACTGTATATACAAAAGCTTACAAATGGAGAAGCATTACATTAGGAATTCATGTACATTTATATTGACCCACTATGCACAAATGTACAAACAATGGGCACACAATCTACTTCTACTGGTGCACAACCTTCAGCGTGAGACTGACCTGGTCAGCAAATTTCAACTGAAAACACAGAAAGTTATTATAATCACTTGAGAGATACTTTGACAATTAAGAATATGTAATGAGCATAGGGTGGTTACATTAAACTCCAAAATATGGCCCATTCTGGAAAATTGCCACATGACTACACTCCATCAATATGGAGGACAATTGAAAAATTCCTATGGTGGCCCCCAGTAAGGCCACGGAGCCCAGGACTGCCAGTCTCCCCAGCAACAGATTCAAACCTGGCCTTGCATCCATGACAGAATGCACTGGTGACAACAATGGACCCAGAGGGAGGCCAGAAACAAGTGGAGAGAAAGATCTTTGTGGAGACACTGTAGAAGTCTGAGAAGGAAGAGCTATAAACAGTCAGGAGAATCTGGCAGATGCAACACCCAGAAGGAGAATGACTCTCTCCCAGGTACTTCAGGCACCTAACGTCTGATGCTGGGAAAACAGCAGGGCATGAAACACACCGCTTCATTCTCGGTTTTATCCTCTTCAGTTCCACCATAACCTGGAATTAAGATACTAACAAATTAACTACTTACCTATACAAATCACTAAACAACTAACAATAAACACTCATGGAGTGCCAGATCCCAAGGGACCGTAATGGTTCATTTCCATCCAGGCACATGGTTGGAAGGAACTGAAGTGGTAGAGAGTGCAGCGCATCCTTATATGGCCTTGCCCTCAGAACGTTCAGAGATGTGGGAGATGAGGTAGGAGGGACACTAACGGACACTACTGGAGAAGGTTCTACCTTTAGGCACCACTAGGCAGCACAATACCTATAAGAGGGAATATGCAGAGCCACTCGAAGATCATCCTTAAGTTTAACATCTTAAAGGCAATACTTACCGTTCACAGAGGTCTTTCTGAGATAAAACCCACACAATATATTTAATTGCCTATTAACAGAATGAAAGTTAACAAAATTAGAAAGATACTAATTTGTCCATAAGCATTTCTGAACATTTTAAAATTCTAAAATTAAATTAAGAGGGCTTGAAATGGTACGGTTAAAACATTAGTAAAGGTAGTTTTCATTCAATATGTTTTAGATACACATGCCAACAAATAATTCTTATTAGACAAGCAGCCTGCATCTAGCCTATCTGTTCTTCAGTAGATTAAACTGCAATGTTTTACACATAATGCAATATACAATAATAAAAAACAATTAGTTATATAGTCTGTCAATCAGGTACAGAATAAGTGCAAAATAAAACTACAGTACATTTTTAATAAAATTTTATTTTTAAATTGTTTAGAATAAAAATATTCAAGTTGAACTGGACAATTAGGAATAACTCTGGCCCCACCCAACTATAAAGGTCCCACAAGCCCCCAAAATAAAAGGGGGTACATAAGGGAGGGCAAATTAGTCCTAAATGTATATTAAATGTTTAAAACTAGCCACTAATTTTTAAATGGGTGTTTTTACAGGCATGATTTTTATAAGGCAAAATGGAAGTTTTGGCATTCACTTCAGGTGGTGCAGGATCGGGTCAGTGGACCAGATCATACAGAAGACAGTACAGCATTTCTTCCAAAAAAAATCTGGCTATCATTTCTACTCTAATTTACCTAGCTCTTTCTCATTTGAACGAATTTACTGCCCTCCTCAGTACACCACCAAAAGAGGAAATAGTTAACTCACTAAATGAATCACTTACCTTCATGATGATTATCCCAAAAACCACAAGAACTACGGGAAGTAGTAACGTCTTTGTGTATCTTATTGGAGTCTGAAATGCAAAGAAACTTTTATTTCCTTCAAATTTAGTTTTAATTTACTACCATTCTCACTCTGAAAGCTACCATGCTTTATACCTGAAATATTTTTCCTCTGGGTAGATTTAAATTTCAACATATAGCAGAAACAAGGTGAGCTGAAAGGAGATTCAAGACATCAAGCCCCATCCAGCTACCTAATTAGTACTCATAACACTGATGCAGCATTTATAAATTAGTCCCCCTATGTTTAAGTAAGGCTAAACATTAACATTACATACGTTCTTTCCAATTTCCACTTTACAATTGCCTTTAGCATCTTTTTGGAGGCTTCAATCTTATCTCCAGCTTATTTTCTTTAGTTATCAGTCATAAGGCTAGAACTAAATTGTGGATCATCTCAAACACTCACCAATTCATTTTTTAACAGTCATAATTTATGGCTGCGCCAAGACAAGTTTACTGGCCCTAAAAGCATTTTTACTCGTCCAGCCAAAGTGATTTTCTGCGCAGACAAACCACAAGACATTGGACCTCAAGATATGGTCTCACCTACTTTTCGTCCCCTCAACATTTGTTACGTTTTGCTAATTATATAAAACAAGTAGTATCACAAAATTTAAAGAATCTGTCCTTATACAGTACTTACTCTCTCATCCAAATCTAAGAGCTCCTTCAAGTCTGAAATCATACACTTCCTATTTCTAACCTCACGAAAATCTAGCTCCACTTGAATGTGGAAACAAAAGTCTTACAATGACCGCAAACAGCTCTCAGATTTGTTGGTAGAAGCAATCACAGTTGAGGTAAAATATAAACAAGTTACCTCTTTTGTAAATCAATTTTTAATAAGTTACCTCTTTTTCCATGAAGTCAAACTCTGCAGCACAGGTGTACATTAATGTATCAAAATCCTTGTAGCCAAAAAATTTTGATTTTAGCAGGTTACTTATATGTGCCTGGTAGGAAATATAAAGCAAAAAACATCAGTAAATAAGAAATTGATCTCATATGCTGTAACGAAGTTCTTTTTTCATAAACAAACATTTTCCTATTTAGTTCAACAAAAACCCTTCAGTTATAGTACAAGTGTAAATGCACCAAGTAATTATTTGGACAGATTAAATGAGATTTTCAGGTACAAAATTGTTAGGTTTGCTCAAATCCATACAGCAGAAGATTACAAGAAAAAAGTTGATTACCAAGTAACTGTGGTTCATCAAGAGCTTTGCATATTCATACTTAGGGGATATGTGCTTCCTATTTTCTCTCTCCATCTAGTACCCATGAATTTTGGGAACATCCTGGAATACATAGCTAGCAAACAGGAGCGGCTAACAGGGGAGCTTTGCAAGGGAGTTCTCCAGGTGAAGGAGGAACAATTACATGATCCTTGGGGTAAGTTTGTTGTCTGTAGTGTGTGTGTTTGTGGTGTGCTTGCTGCTTGACTGAAATATACCACATGGTCTGTTTGTTTGGGGGACCGTGTGACGAGCCTAGCGGCCTCCTAGGCAAGACTGAGAGCTTCTTAAAGAGGCTTTGATCCCTAAGCCCTTTAGCACCCATCAACCCTTAACTGGGGGTGGGTGGGTGGGGCTACTCAGGAAGACCAGGGCTTTAAAAAGCCCACTCCTAAGCAACCAGAAGAGCTAGGGAACAGGAGCAGCTAACAGGGGAGTTTAGAGGGGGAGTTTAGAGGGGGAAGTGTGTGTGTGTGGGGGGGCTAGATACACAACATTCTTTAAACTTAAAAGCCAAAAACACCCCCTGATAAAAACAAAACATCAACTAAGGAACAAGTTGCAGGAGTAAAAAGAGAATGCAGGCAGAAGACCAGCAACAGAGTGGGATCTATCCAGTTTATTGCACCCAATGCAGCATGTATGATTACCTGCCCTATGGGCAGATGGCGTATGTGTGCATTCAGTGCAAGGAGCACCTGGCCCTCGGAGACCTTGTATGGACTTTGGAGACCAGGGTGGCTGAACTAGAGGAGACAAGGGACTCCGAGATACATAGATGAGACTTTTTGGGACACCGTAGAATGGTCCCACCCCCAGTCTGACAGCCTCTGTGCTGTTGAAGAGGATGAAAGCCGCAGGGAACGAAAACATCCAACTAGAGCAGAGGGAAAACGATCCCATAGTTGGGACCCTCCTTCCAGATGATGTTGCGGTACCTTCTCGCACTGAGGATACCTCTCTGGGGGAGGAAACTCCAGTTATTAGGAAGAGACATGTAATAGTTATGGGAGATTCGATCATTAGAAACATAGTTAACTGGGTTTGCGATGACCGGGAGACCCGCATGGTGACTTGCCTGCCTGGTGCAAAGGTTGCAGATCTCTCGAGACATCTAGATAGACTTATGTGTAGTGCTGTGGTCGTGGTACATGTAGGGTACCAATGACATAGGGAAGGATAGGAGAGAGGTCCTGGAGGCCAAATTTAGGCTACTAGGTAAGAGATTGAAGTCCAGGACCTCCATGGTAGCATTCTCTGAAATGCTTCCAGTTCTATGCACAGGGCCAGTTAGACAAGTAGAACTGCAGGGTCTCAATGCGTGGATGAGACGATGGTGTAGGGAGGAGGGGTTTAGATTTATTAGGAATTGGGGAAACTTTTGGGAAAGGGGGAGCCTATACAGGAAGGATGGGCTCCACCTAAACCAAAATGGATCGAGATTGCTGGCACTTAAAATTAAAAAGGTCATAGAGCAGTTTTTAAAATAAGGGCTGGGGGAAAGCCAAAAGGTGCGGAGGAGCACGTGGCTCAGACAGAGACATCCCTTAGGGGAGGATCTATTATTGGAGATTGTCTATGTCCTAGTAAAGAGGACAGGATGGAAGATAATAAAATACGGGTAGGATCTGATGAGAAACAATCAAATGAAAAAGAGTCCCATTCAATTACATCATGTAATGGCAGACAGCTAAAAAGTGACAAGTTTTTAAAGTGCTTATATACAAATGCTATAAGTCTAAATAATAAGGTAGGTGAACTAGAGTTCCTCGTATTAAATGAGGATATTGATATAATAGGCATCACAGAAACTTGGTGGAATGAGGAGAATAAATGGGACACATTAATACCAGGGTACAAAATATATCGGAAGGACAGAACAGGCCATGCTGGTGGGGGAGTGGCACTATATATGAAAGGAAGCGTAGAATCAAATGAAATAAAAATCTTAAATGAACCAAACTGAACCATAGAATCTCTATGGATAGTAATTCCATGCTCTAATAATAAGAATATAGCTGTAGGGATATATTACCGACCACCTGACCAGGAGGTTGATAGTGACTGCGGAATGCTCAGGAAGATTAGAGAGGCTATAAAAATAAAAAAACTCAATAATAATGGGGGATTTCAACTATCCCCATATTGACTGGGTACATGTCACCTCAGGACGGGATGCAGAAATAAAGCTTCTTGACACCTTAAATGACTGCTTCTTGGAGCAGCTAGTCCTAGAATCCACAAGAGGAGAGGTAATTCTTGATTTAGTCCTAAGTGCAGCACAGGATCTGGTCCAAGAGGTGAACATAGCTGGACCGCTTGGTAATAGTGACCATAATGTAATTAAATTTAACATCCCCCCCTGTGGTGGGGAAAACACCACAGCAGCCCAACACTGTAGCATTTAATTTCAGAAAGGGTGACTACATAAAAATGAGGAAACTAGCTCAACAGAAATTAAAAGGTGCAGTGCCAAAAGTGCAATCCCTGCAAGCAGCAAGGAAACTTTTTAAAAGACAACATAACAGAGACTCAACTTAAATGTATACGCCAAATTAAAGAACACAGTAAGAGAACAAAAAAAGTGCCTCCATCGTTAAACAATGAAGTAAAAGAAGCAGTGAGACACAAAAAGGCGTCATTTAAAAAGTGGAAGTTAAATCCTAGTGAGGAAAATAGAGAGGAGCATAAACTCTGGCAAATGAAGTGTAAAAATATAATTAGGAAGGCCAAAAAAGAATCTGAAGAACAGTCAGCCTGTCAAGGCTGTATCCCCACTTTGAACTTTAGGGTACAAATGTAGGGGCCTGCATGAAAACTTCTAAGCTTATCTACCAGCTTAGCTCTGGTCCGCTGCCACCATCTCAAGAATTCCCTCCCTGGGAAGCCTTGAGAAACCTTTCACCAATTCCCTGGTGAATACAGATCCAAACTCCTTGGATCTTAAACAAGGAGAAATTGACCCTTCCCCCCTCCTTCCTTTCACCAACTCCTGGTGAATACAGATCCAAACCCCCCTTGGATCTTAAAACAAGGAGAAATCAATCAGGTTCTTAAAAAAGAAGGCTTTTAATTAAAGAAAAAGGTAAAAATCATCTCTGTAAAATCAGTATGGAAAATAACTTTACAGGGTAATCAAACTTAAAGAGCTCAGAGGACCCCCCTCTGTCTTAGGTTCAAAGTACAGCAAACAAAGATAAACACTCTGGTAAAAGGTACATTACAAGTTGAGAAAACAAAGTAAATCTAAGACGCCTTGCCTGGCTTTTTACTTACAAGTTTGAAATAGGAGAGACTTGTTTAGAAAGATGGGGAGAACCTGGATTGATGTCTGGTCCCTCTCAGTCCCCAGAGCGAACCACCCCTTAAACAAAGGGCACACACACAAACCTTTCCCCCCCCCCCAAGATTTGAAAGTATCTTGTCCCCTTATTGGTCCTTTGGGTCAGGTGTCAGCTAGGTTACCCGAGCTTCTTAACCCTTTACAGGTGAAAGGATTTTGGAGTCTCTGGCCAGGAGGGATTCCATAGCACTGTACACAGGAGAGCAGCCACCCTTCCCTTTATAGTTATGACACAGCCAAAGACTCAAAAAGCAATAGCAAAAAATTTTTTGAGTACATCAGAATCAGGAAGCCTGCTAAACAACCAGTGGGGCCACTGGATGATCGAGATGCTAGAGGAGCACTCAAGGACAATAAGACCATCGCAGAGAAACTAAATGAATTCTTTGCATTGGTCTTCACGGCTGAGGATGTGAGGGACATTCCCAAACATGAGCCATTCTTTTTAGGTGACAAATCTGAGGCACTGTCGCAGAATGAGGTGTCATTAGAAGAGGTTTTGGAACAAATTGATAAACTAAGCTGGTATTCACCCAAGAGTTCTGAAGGAACTCAAATGTGAAATTGCAGAACTACTAACTGTGGTTTGTAACCATAATTTAAATCAGCTTCTGTACCAAATGCCTGGAGAATAGCTATGGAAATCATAAAACCCTGGAGTGATAATTCCTCTCCCACTTCTGTGCAAGTAATCCTAGAAATCTCATGGCAATACAATACCAAATATATGATATAATAAAGGATAATAAAGCCAAAATAGAAATGTTAAGAAAATTTGTAAGGGCTTTGGGACACAATTATCTTCAAAAATAATGTTGAAGTTTTGGTTAAGATGTAGATAAATCTTACTATCGCCTCTCTTTGTATTGTTAATTTATTCTAGCTCTGGATGACATTTGCCAATTTGTTACTTGTTGGTTATTTTAATGTACTGTTTTATTACAGCATCGTTCGCTTTTCCTTCCTCAATGCTTCTGATCAAAATATGCCAAATAGATAAAACAAATGCTTAGATTCCATTTTCATGTAAAACCTCTTAGTGATAAAGTAGGAGTGCAGAACAATGTAATCTAAATGTAGAATTTATAAATTCAGTTTTTCCCATGGTTTCCCATAAAGCATGAATAGGTATTTTAAAAAGAAGTCACTATTTTTTAAAAAAACTCCGAAGACAGTTTTTACTAAGTTGTTTGCCATCTGTCAAAGTTTTACTTAGCAAATGCATAGTTCTACAACAATGGTGGTCAGTTAAGAGCTAAACAAAGTTTCACTTTTCCATGCTAACTCAATTTCTTGGAACATTACATTGGCTCACCAAAAAGTAACAGCATTCATTTATTGGCTTGGTTTAACGTTTAAGTCCATTTCATTTAGGAAGAAAGGAAAATGGAATAATAAATTAGCAATCATTTTAAGTATTGTGCAATTTAAATATTTTCTCAGAGAAGAAAAAAACATTTAAAGGATTAAATAAGATATGAAGCAACATAACGGTCTAAAATAAAACCTTTAACAATGCCTAACATTAAAAAAGCAGAACTTACATCATCAGCTACTCCAAATATTAGAGAAGTCAAATATTTCAAGGTGACTGTTCCAAATAACCAAGCAAATCCTTCAATGGCCTACAAAATAAAGGAAACATTCAGACTGAAGGAGGAGAACAGAAGAAAAAAAGCATACTGGAGTTGTGCAGTTAGTGGAAAAAGTTCTCTTGTGTGTTAGGAAAGTGTCAAGAATAAAGCAACAGACAATCACAAGAAGTGTGATTTGTAACTCAAAGTACACTCCAATAATTAGAGAACACAGTAGTAATGTTAAATCTTTTCCTTTTGAAACTGAAAGATCTAGTACTGCTTTATGCACATTGCTCCAAGCACTACAGTTAAGACTCCCTCTTCTCTCCTAGTGCATTCAAACAATATCACAGCAAGAGTGCAGTCAGCAGAAATGAGATTTCCAGAATCTTATTTTTAGCTACTTTTTATAAAAACATTAACATAATGGTTAACAGTGTAAGTATTAAAAGAGAATGAATGATATACAAGCTAATGGAAAACAGCAGAATTGAGGCAGACTAGTTACAAGTTGAGGCATACATATTGTAATTTTAAAAATTGATATACATCCCATTTTGTTCATCTTTCCTGAAATAGTTGTTAATCTAATTTTTTAAAATTATTTCTTGTTAACTACCTTTCTAGAGATAGTATTTCTTTTTTCAACCAAAAGGATGAAATACATTTGTGACACTGCATCCCATATTCTTCATAGAGATATTATGATGATATGATTATGACAATCATAATGTATTTTACACAAGATAGGTCATGTGAGATATCATTGGAATGGTTATTATTTACTGAATATGATTATCCTACTTATATGCAAGTATCATTTTTGTATCTGAAATTAGGAATATTGACTATATATCTGTGTTATAAATGTGTTTACACCTAGGGAACGCCCACTAGGCAAAAGATACTCAGTCTAGATGGCTGGCTGGGAAGGGCCCATTCAGATTGATGGGCCATTAGAAAAAAACAATAGGCCTTAGAAGAGGTTAATCTCCCATGGGAGGCCTTCCTGAGGACGCTGTAAACAGCCTCTGACTCATGGCTGCTAGGACCCTACAGGGTCATGTGACCAAGTCACCTGGTACTGGACTCCATCTTGGGAATACCAGTGTTTTTCCACTGACTGGCGTGGGAACAATGCTTGGAGACAAAGGGTACCCGCCATATGCAAAAGCTATTTAAAGCAGGGGGTGACATCGAGGTTCTTCACTGACTCCCCACCCAAAGACGACTCTTGAAAACACTGGAGGAACAAGGACTGAACTGGGGGAAAGTGCTGGACCCAGGCTGAAGGAATTTTTAACTTGTGAAAGAAACACCTGGGGTTTTTAAGCTGCAAGCAAGTGCAGCTGGCCCCTTAAGAATCTCCGCAATCTGCTGGAAACATCATTTAGGATGAAAATTTGCTACTCATATCCAACCTCTTTAGTATATTAAGCTTAGATTGCATTTTTGTTTATTTGCTAGGTAACCTGCTTTGATCTGTTTGCTATTCCTTATAATCACTTAAAATCTATCTTTTGTAGTCAATAAATTTGTTTTTGATTTATCACAAACCAGTATGTGGGAGTCATAACTTGGGGCAAAAAGCTGTTGCATATTTCCTCTCCACACAGAGAAGGGGCGAATTTCATGAGCTTACACTCTACAGATCTCTGTGCAGCGCAAGACAGTATAATTTTGGGTTTACATTCCAGAAGGGGATGGGCACTTGAGCAGCTGAGCAGTTCCTTAGCTGTATCCTCCCGATGCAGAGCTGATCACAGCCATCTGTATGTACTGCAGCTGGGTGTGTCGCTACCTGTATGTGTGCTGAAGCCTGGGAGAGGGTTTGGCAGGCTGGTCACAGCTGTACAGTGTAAAGGGTGCCCAGATGGTGGGTCGGGGGGCTCAATGGTACCCCAGTTCCAGGTGGCACCCTGGGGGAAACCCATCACAACATTCATTGGCTGCAGTTATAAGAAATTAAACAGATTTGTTTAATTTTCACAAATTGGGACATTTTTCTAGCCTCAGAGTAACAGGAATTTACATCTGTTATTTTTTAATCTAACCAGCATCCTTTAAAATTAGGATTAAGATATGAAAATGATCCCCTATAGCATGGTATCCCCTCCAGAATTTTACTGTGTTTATTTTGTTTTGCAACTCTGTTGGGAGCCAATATTTAATCATACTTTTCCACTGGTATTCTCTCCATGATGGTGAACTTGTACTATTATCATATTCTTTCAATCCTCAGGAGAAATTTGCTGTTTAGATCTGTTTCTCAAACTCTGTTCACTTTGTCAATATTGCCCTGAAGTTCTAAAGTAAGAGTGCATACAATTTGCTTTTTTAAATCAGATATTGAATTATTTTTCAATTTCCTTCCATAGTTCTGTCTTGGAGACAAATCTAGTTTAAGCGGTCCAATTCTTAGGATTTTGTAAATATTGTAACTAATTAGAAAATTCCTGTATTTTTAACTTCTATTAACTCTTATAGTGTGAAAGCTTTTAGTTCAATTTTGTCAAATTACTTATCCATTTTATTCCTTTTTGTGTCAGTTTTCCTTATGGGATATTAGTCAATTTTGAAATATTGATATTCAAAATATTACTTCAAACTATCAGTTCTCACATATTCACTGCATAAAAATACATGGATAATTTCCTGATTTGGCTGACCAATAAGTGGTAGTTCTTTTCTGATAATCAATCCTTACCCATAAACTGACTTCTCTTCTACCCATTTTCAGCAATTTTGGACTCCATTCAAGAATACCCTAAAATAATAATTAAAAATTAATGCACCTATTTTATAATATTTCCAATCATATTCCAGTAACGCAAAAAAACAAGGTATTTTTTTCTATAGAGCTTGACATGTCACCACATGAACATCCTTAAAAAGTACAGTTCAAACCCGTGTAACCTGTCAACCACATGACTGAATATCATAAGAACTGATACTCTGATATTGCAGTTTCCATACACTGAATTAGAACCACTCTTCTCTCTGCCAGGCGAGAATCTATTTTACATAGTTTCTGAAAAAACATCAAAGGCAATACAAGCACAGAAAGCTTGGCTATTTTCACCAGCAACAAGAAACTTCAAAGTGAGGAATAATTACTAATTACAGCATAAAAAATTTACACAAAGAATCTCCAAGGGAAGATGAGGTAGAATGACAGAAAAACATTACTAAACACAGAATCACTAAGTTTCCCTGCATTTTGTTACTAAGTTACAATTTGTTATTAAGTTCTAAATTTTCCTCTTGTATGCCCTCTTCACCATCTTATAATAGCAAGAACCCTTACCATCAGTGGATGTCAAGAGCAATAAAAATCAGAAATGAGGCATTAACTGAAGAGCTGTAAGAAGCCTACTCTACACCAGACTAATGGCCACATGACATTGAGACTTCATTACAAATGGTCAAACAGAAAGGTTTTTTTGTAACTAGGGACATTTTAGCTTCTAGCTAACGAAGGAGCCAGGAGCATGGCTCAGCATCCCTATAGTATAGTTATGTTATTTCTCAGAAAAGATCTAAGAGACAAAAAGTTAAAATAAAAAGACTGAGACATTGGGCTACCCTCCATGCTTCCAGGATGGAACATCAAGAGAGACTGAGGTGGAAATAGGCTCTCTTTAGTGTCCTTCTACTAGCCTTGATTGATAATTCTTTTGTCTTCTTCCTTCCTGGAGTAAGTACATGATTTGCTTAGGTAAGTTTTTTCTGTAAAAAACAGGGATGAGGAAGATATCGGATGACAAACCTTTAATGGTTTTAATAATGCTTGGAATGTGGTCCTGAGTGAGTGGACTTTCCAAGACTGTTTTCATATCGACTTATAATTTCTGATTATTGTTGCTTCTATTAGTGGTCATTCTGTTCTGTACTATTTGCAGTTTTGGAAAAAGTATCCGTTTTAAGATTATTATTTTTTTAATACTGCTTAAGCTTCAAACAGAAACTTATTTAAGCCACAACTTTCATTTTAAAGTCCAATCAGTTAATCACGTATAGCTTGTGTGTCGGATGTTCCACAAAATTTGCCAGCATATAAACAACTTTTAGTACACTGTAAAACATGATTGTTTTAGCCTTACACCTGAAAAAGTGTAAGTCAATGTTCAGTTTCTCTCATGTCAAAGCTTTGACATGTCAACATTTTATTGACTTTACTAACACTTCCCCATTCCCCAAACATCTCCAAGACTAACCTTATCAATCTCATGGAAGTATACTATTTTCTAACTATTCAGAAAAGTTACAATTCTCCATTTAATGTGCCAATCCATAGCTAATAGTGCAGAAATACATTCCTAAGCATCTGAAATGAATTCTTCCAAAACTTACCCAGATAACTGCTAAAGAGGCAGCATAATATGATGTCAATAACATTGAGTTGCCAAACATCAAAATGAAACACAGTGCAAGAGATGCCTGAAATAAGAAAATACAAAACATCTCCGAATATCTAAACCATCAAGTAATTCTCTCAAATACAACATATAGTATAAATAAAATAATTGATAACTGACAGCAATACCATGGTTTTCTTTAAATATATAAATATCTACATACTATGCAGCAACTCTCTAAGCTAGAGACCCAGCTTATAGAATTTTATTGAGAAAGGTTAGTAATAAAGATTTAAAATGATGGCAATGTAGCAAATGTGAACTACTGTGATGATGATGTAAGTAACAGACTAAAAGATTTAATAACAGAATATATTTCAACCCCTAATGATATTCTTTTTTCATTTTTTAAAACGCTATTCCTGATGTTTTATTCATTCTTTCAAGTTATTTTACTTGGTCACTTATATATGCTGATAGTCAGACTCTCAGAATCCTGTGGACAAAGTAGTAAAGAAATTTTGAGGAGGAAAAAAAGGGAGAGGTTACTCACTTTGTCCAATAACTGGAGTTCTTTGTGATGCGTGTCCCTTTGGGTACTCCACTTCAGATGCCCATGTACCCTGTACCTTTGATCACAGATTTTTGGTAGCAATGCCTGTTCGGCCTGCACATGTGCACTACACATGCTATGCCCTGAACAGAGGCTGTATAGGACCGTACGGGGAACCACCCTCAGTTCCTTCTCTACTGAAAAGTATCACAAAGAAAACTCCAAAGCAAAGGGGAAGGAGGGCAGGTAGTGGAGCACCCAAAGAGGGACACATCTTGAACTCCAGTTTCTGCACAAAGTGAGTAACCGCTCTTTCTTTGAGTAGTGTCCCTGTGGGTGCTCCACTTCAAGTGACTCCTTAGCTCAAGGAGACAGGAGGTTTAGAACAGAGTCCAGAGCTCAAGAGAGAACTGCATTGTCTACTGCAGCATCTGATCTAGCAGCATGAACCAAAGCATAATGGCTGGAAAAAGTATGCACTGAACTCCATGTTGCAGCTTTGCAGATCTCTCAGCAACTGGAACATTCTTGAGTAGGGCTACAGACATAGACTGCAATCAAATAGAACATGCAATCACTTGCAGGGGAGTTTGAGCATCAGCCAAACCATTATATGCAATAATCCAAAGAGACACTCTGGATGTGAGATAGTGTATTCCCTAGACCAGTGTTTCCCAAACTTGGGACGCCGCAGGTCCGGCCGATTGTGGCTCCCACTGGCCGCGGTTCACTGCTCCAGGCCAATGGGAGCTGCTGGATGGGGCAGGTAAACAAACTGGCCCAGCCCGCCAGGGGCTTTCCCTACACAAGCGGCGTCCCAAGTTTGGGAAACACTGCCCTTGACCTATCCTCAATAGAAACAAAAAGTCATGGGGACTTCTTGAATGTTCTGGTTCTGTTCAAGTAAAAGGCCAGTACCCTCTCAACATCTAGCGTATGGAAGATAGCTTCCTGCGTAGAATAATGCAGTTTAGGAAAGAAAACTAGAAAGTGAACTGTCTGGTTAATATGAAACAGAAGAAACCTCGGGTAAAAATTTTGCAGGGAGTTGTAATTATACCTTCGCCTTGGAGAACATAGTCAATGGAGGACCTGGCATTAGAGCCCCAATCTCTCCAACCCTTCATGCAGAAGCAAAGGTCACCAAAAAGACTGTCTTCATGGACAAATGTAACAGAGCACGTAGCTAGTGGCTCAAAAGGCTGTTTCATAGGATGGTTAAAAACAAGGTTGAAATCCCAAAGCAGAGTAGGATCACTAATCTGTGGGAAAAGGTTTGTAAGACTAAGAACCTCACTGTGGTCAGATGTGTGAAAATTGACAAACCGCCTAATGGTGAGTGGGAAGCTGTTATTGATTCTAAGTGAACCTTGATGGAATTCAGAGACCTGGTGTTTTCAATTCCAATAGGTAATCCAAGATTGTGGAAAGATATGACTGGACAGGTGAAAGATAACAGAGGTTACACTAAAGATAACATCTTCTCCATTTCTGGAGGTAAGTGTGTCTTGTAGATTTCTCCCTGCTATTTAACAGCACATGTTGTACTCCCGATGAACAGGATGCCTCTAATCCTGAGAGCCACTGAGGAGCCATGCTTGGCGTTGCAGAATGTTCAGATTGGGATGAAGTGTTTGATCCACATCCTGAGACAGTCAAGAATTGATGGGGAGCTGCCACAGAGGGCAGAAGGTGAGTCTGAAGAGGTAAGGAAACAAAACTTGTCTTGGCCAAGTTGATATAATCAAAATGACCCCCTGGCTTGGCTGTGCTTGATCTTGTTGAGAACCTTTAAAAGCAATGGAATTGGTGGAGACCCATAGAGAAAGACCCTTTGTCCATGTAATGAGAAAATCCTCAATCTCTAGGAGATACCTGAGTCCTCCTCTAGAACAGAATTTTCTGCATTCCATATTGCCTGCAGTGGCAAAAGTTTCCAAAGCTAAGACTATTTTGTTGGAGACTTGAGAGTCCAATTCTCATTCTCAATTTAGGGGAAAATTCCTCACTGACAGGAATGGCTCCTCAAAAGGAAAGGCTCCTTTTAAAACCCATGTAGCCCATTATCCCATATTCAAGAAAAAAATTTGGACTCCTCAGAACGAGAAAAAAAAAATTTTTTTGGAGGGGAGAAAGAAAATGAGAACAACAGTTCCAATAACTATAAAGTACTAAACTACATACTATATAATAACTCTAAATAGAAAACAGGCACACACTAAATTCCAATTCTGGCCGAAGGCAGTTGAGAAGGAACCAAGCATGCTGGAACAATTTTTATAGTGGGGGTGCTGCTGATGGAATGTATTTGGTGTTTATTACTACTTCAAACAGGGGGTGTGGCAGCACCCCTAATTCCAGCACCACTAGAAGGAACTGAAGGCTGTTTGCCCACATAGCTCTATATAGCTTGGGTATGGGGCAGGAGTATGTGTAGGGCGCATGAGCAGGCCAGACAGGCAACACTACCAAAAATCTCTGATCAAAGGCATAGGGTGAATGTGCATCTGAATTGAAGCACCCAGAGGGACACTCAAAGAACAACTTCATATTTCTGCCAGACAGAAAGCTATAAATTTCAAATAAATAACACTATCAAAACTGGTAAACCAAAAATTTGATGCAGCATTTTCTTTGGTCATAGGCATACTTAACCATATCAGAGTTTTCTCCACTATTTTTTTATACAGTTGTAGCTGCCAACTATGCTGTTCTGGCAAGAATTATTCTGGATTTTAGAAAAATTTATGGATTCACAGGCCCAGCCAATGTCTCAGAAGCTATAGCAGCTGATATTGAATAGGGGATGTGCTTCCAGAATCCATTAGAAGGACAGAATCCATGAGGAGACTGACTCCTTAAGAATCACTGTGAGAGACCATAATCAGCAAGGGAAAAATCCGTAAGAATAAATTAAAATCCACTGGATGATGTAACAAAGTAAACCTTTAAAGCCATAGAAGGGATAGGGGAGGCACTATAACACATTGGAATGGGGATAAGTGGAAGATGGCGATTGAGAATCAATTGCTGGGAAGAGAGAAAAGAATTCAAGATGAGGTGTGTAAGAGAAGGACAGAAAGAACCAATGGGGGAAAGATAATCATAAGCCTATATTAAGTTGTTTCTTCTAGTAGGTGAGCTATAGATCTTTGGATTCTCAATAATCTCCTCCTAACCAGAATATTGTTCAAGAATGCATAATAGGGCATTTCTTAAGTCCTAATGACTGCACCGCACTTAAAGCAAATGTTGGCTGGGCTTGCCGAGGGAGGGCAGCTGTGCTTTATGGCTGGAGGGGAGGGGGAGTGAGGTTAGAGACTTCTGCAAAAGGTGAACAGTGATCAGTTTTGCGGCCCTGACTCACCCCCCAGGAATGTGAAGTTGGAAGGTGCAAGCCCTGGCGTGGGAAGCCCCTTTTTTCCATGCAGCAGGCAAGACAGCACCCACCCTCCCTCCCCTAGTGGAGGCAAATATCAGGTTGGGTTAGGACCTGCTGTGGGCATTGTGCTAGTCACTCCTTTTTAAGGGGGGCTGGGAAGGAATTTTTCCCGCACCACCAGATTGGCTTCAGTGGAGCGAGGTTTTTTTGCCTTCCCCACAAGTGGGTGTCAGGGATGACCTTTTCTGGTAAGAAGAAAAGGTGGTAGGGTATATGTCGCAACTTATTTTGTAAGTGTGGGGTGGATGTCCAGTGCAGGTACTCCATAGGGAAGACATCCAGTGACCAGATAAATGGTCTGGTAAAGTACTCATAAGGGAGGTGACCGGTAAAGGAACAGAAAGGGGGAGGAGGGTTGGGGACTCCTATGATTGGTACGGCAGGGAGCCAACTCCTCTTCCCCTGGTCTGATAGCCACCTTAACCCTCCTATGAGGGGGGTGGATAGTAAGGTCTAAGCCATGTGTTGGCTGGAGGGACCTGGATGGAAAATGAAGGGGGGCTGGTGGAAGCCCCAGGTAATGATTTGAATAAATATGGATTTGCCTGCACTGTTCACTTTATCTGCCTGGTAGTCCCAGACCGCTATATAATAAAGTTGAGGCCTGATTAAAATCCATAACAAGTGTCTCCTGTCCTTCTTTTGATATACCCAGACAATGAAGTGTATTACAGCTATTAGACTCTTCAGGAAGAGCCTGAACACCATGGAAAAATCCAGAAAGTAATGTAGTATCAATGTTTCTCAAAATACACAAATACAGAAACCTGTAAATGCATGACCAGTATCCACGGGCGCCAGGTTTCTATAATTTTTGGTGGTGCCCAGAACACGTCCAAGCAGAGCCGTCCTGTCCATAGAATGGACTGGGGCAACCGCCCGAGACCCCACGCTTTGGGGGGCCCTGCGCTTCAGGGGGACGCAGGGTCCAGGGCAGCCTGGGAGGTTAGTGGGAGGCCTGGCAGTGAGTGACCTGGCATCTGGAGCAAATATAAGAACTAATAAATTAAACTTGCAGGTAATTTACTTATATGCTTTGGAACCACCAGGAAGTGGTCAGGAAAGAGCGAAGGACTATCACCTCCTACCTTCATGTTTCTCTCAAGCTAAAACATCCTGAAATTTTGCTCAGGACTAATTTAATCATAAAATATTTTCTCATTTCTTATTTTGAAGTATGTACCAGAACATTTTTGGGGCTGTCATATGGATACATCATCTTCATGAGCAGGGCTGGATTGACTCTCCTGTGAGCCTGGGGCTATTAGATTCTCTGGGGCCCCTGTATACAAGTCTTTTTCCTAATTTAAAACAAAATGATCACAATTATGGCATTGAGGGTATTAACGCTATACTAAACTTGCCTTTTAATTAGCAAAGCCATTCTATGGATACATGTCAGTCTTAAAACATGTAGAATATTGTTAAGTTAATTCAAAATAGCCTACTTCTTATCTTAGAACAGCTGTTATATTAGTTTCTTTCTGGGAGGGATTTTGGGTGCAGGAGGGGGCTCCAGGCTGGGGCAGAGTTTTGGGGTGCAGGAGAGGATGAGGGGTGCGGGCTCTGGGAGGGAGTTTGGTGCAGGAGGGGATTCTGATCTGGGGCAGGGGGTTGGGGTTCAGGAGGGAGTGCGCGGTCTGGGAGGGAGTTGGGATGCAGGAGGGGGTGTGAGGTGCAGGCTCCAGCTGGGAGGCGCTTACCACAGGCGGCTCCAGGCCGGCAGCGCAGCAGGGCTCAGGCAGGCTGCCTGCCTGCCATACCCCATGCTGCTCCTGGAAGCGGCCGGCTGCGGGCACATCTCTGCATGCCCCTGGGGGCGACAGTGTGTCTCCGTGCGCTGTACGCACCTGCCAGCGCCACCCCTGCCAATGGAAGCTACGGGGACAGTGCTGGGGGCAGAGGCAGTGCGCAGAGCCTCCTCCCCACCCTGCCGCCAGGGGCTGCAGAGATGTGCCAGCAGCTGGCCGCTTCCGGGAGCAGCGTGGGGCCAAGGCATTCAGGCAGCCTGCCTGAGCCCTGCTGCGTCACAGGACATTTAGTGGCCCGGAGATCACGATCGACTGGCAGAGGCTCCAGGATCAACCAGTCGATGGCAATCGGCAGGTTGGTGACCACTGAATTGTATATAATTATGGATTTATTTTTGCGGGGGCCCCTTAGTCAGAGGCCCTGGGCTGCAGCCCCTAAAGCTCCATGTTAGTCCGGCCCTGTTCATGAGCTGTTCCAATTAACAGCTTTGAACTGGCCATGATATTGTAGCAGAAGTGAACGTAGCTCTTTCATTAAATTTTAATTTAGGATATTAAAATACTTGGTTTACATTTACATATTTGTCTAAATCATAAAAAGATTTATTTATTAGCAAGACATTTGGAAAATATCTACTTCTACGACAGATGAAAATGTTGGTCTACCAAGTTTGACAGTATTCTTTTAAAACCAGTACATTTTTCTTTTTTTTCCAATACACAATTAGTAAAGGCAGATAATAGTGTTCTATTTTAAAAAGTCATTTTTGTGCATCTCAAGATCTGTGTATGGACAGGGTTCTATTCCTTTTTTCCCTTCACTCTTAGTCTTACAGTAACTCTTTACACTCACTACACAACTAATCAAAATATCTAAAACTAGATTCTCTTCACTAGCTAGTTTGACTAGTTTATTTTTTTAAAAGGAAGTATTACCATATGTGCACAAAGTATCTTCTGTAACTTGAGAGAGTCAATGTAACCCACAACATACAAAGCAAATAACGAGGCTATCTGGAATTAAAAAGAGAAGATTAAACTAATTGAAAATGATACATTCATACAGCATAAATACATTATTCAGCAATAACCCACAAGCATCTGTAGCTCCTTTTAATGGCTAAAGGCTTATGAATTTTTGCAATGGCTTATTTTGAAAGAAGGTGGAGCTGTGTATAACACCCAAAAAATATAAAATAACATTTAAACATTTCAAGAATAAGATTTAAAATAAAAGAAGTTGCTTTACTCATGTTAATGACCCCCACTTGTATTAATAATTTGCTCTTAGATAGTACCTCCCATTTTCAGATAAAAGAGCATTCATTATTATTAGTCTAAAAATCAGGAAATATTATCTCCACTTTACTGATGAGGAAAATGAGGCATAGAAATTAAGTGACTGCCCAAGGTCATGCATGACGTTTATGGTGATGCTAGGAACCAAATTCAGCTCTCCAAAGTTCCAGTACACTGTGTTAACCAGCAGAGCACCCCTGCTGCCTCTGCCTTGATTTTCTGAAAAATGAGGGTCATTTTATCAAACATTTTTAAAATAAACATGTTTCTGTAGTTTACATTTTTGGTGGCCACCTGCAACTAATTTTCTTCTTTGTGGTTAGGAGACCATCCACCCCTGCCCAGATTGTTTTGTTCAAAAGCAACACCTGCTACTTCAAAATACAGCGGCCCAAAGTAGATGGGAGAGAAGAAGAGAAGCTCCTGTATTCCAGGCACCTTGGGTTGACAAGGAGAGGAAAGAGAGAAGGGCATCCTTGCGCCTCAAAAATACAAAAAAAGCTGAGGACACAAATACTTGTGGGGGAGAGCCTCGGGAATAATTCTGCCAATTATTTCTCCACATTATCCTTTTATCCAGTTATTCATTCATGTCCTAGTTTTTAATTTAAGAGTCATGGGTGTTTTGCACCCTAGCTCAGGATAGCAGATGCTTAGGAAGGTATGAGTGCTTTTTCTATGCCTCTCATTCTAACCCCAACTTCTTCAGGATGATATTTAACGCAGCAGCTTGTTTTCTGCAGACCCAAATAGGGAGCAAGACTTCTGCTTCCAAAAGGGACAATTACCTGAAGAGTCCAGAATGCATTAAAAGTCACACAGTTTAAAACAAAAAACCTGACATGGGTTAGTAATTAATTCACCATGTCCCCATATTTATTGATTTATTTTTAAGAATGAGGTCAGTGATTGCAGCAACCCTTTGAATCAGGTAATCAGAGCACTTGCGCTTAGAAGCTACACATAAAGAGTAATTTTTCAGTGGGGAAGCTAGATATGATAACCAATGCTTTGTGTTGTGAAATCTAAGCCCTTACCTTTTCCTAATCTACCTTCTATTGACTGAAAAATTCCTAAAAGCCCGGATTACAGAACTTTTTTTAAAATCTCTGCTAATTAGCACTTCTGGGCTTACATTTTTCTCTAATTCAAATGCATAAAGATGAGTATGTGCTGCCTAGAGATATATTTAACAGACTCTTTTAAACTACATTATATGTTCCTGAGGGAAGTCTGTGCCACTGCATATGCACAGAATTCATCCCCCCCAAAGATTTCTTTGCTTCCCCGCAGAAAATGACGGGGAGGCAAAGGGAAGCCACAAGAACGGTCACATGCCAGCATGGTTTCCAGTGCCCAGAGCAGCTGGCAGAGAGGTAAATCTCCGAAGGGGTCGGGGTGGGGACACCCATGGGCATAGTTTGGGGGCATAGCCCCCTCAGATGCAAGGCATGGGGGTATGCGGGGTCACATGCCACTGCCCCCACCCCCCATTTCTGTGAGCATATAGCTGCCCAGATGAAGAAGGGTTCCACTACGGCTAGCTAACTCTGCAGCTGGATGCCATCTCCTGAGTCGTAGTGCCGTCGGGCTCCCCTTCTGCATGCTGGGAGCCATCTTGTTTTCTGCACAATGGTGAGTGCCCACAGTGGGACAGGGCAAGAGGGGTGGGTTGGGGCAGGAGAAATGGGAGAAAGGGGGTGGAAATAGGCAGTGGGGAAGGAAGGAGGATGGAGGAGTGGTGGGAGAGGAAGGGGAAAGGGATAGGACATGGGGGGGGGAAGGGATAGGACATGGGGGGGGGAAGGGGGAGCCTGTCATGCAGCATTCCCTCAGCAGCAGCACTGGAGCTCCCCCATTAAGCAGGCCCATCAAACCCCCATCCCATCAAGCCCCACCCCTCCTGCACCTGGACCACCCTGATGAGCCCCCCCACATCTGGACTCCCACCCCAACGAGCCCCACTCCCCCAGCACCCAGACCCCCTTGCTGAGCCCCCACACCTAAACCACCCCTGCCAAGCACAATCCCACCACACCCAGATGGCCCCTGCTGAGCCCCAACCACCTTCACCTGGATCCCCTGCAGAGTCCCACTGCCCCTGCACCCGAAACCCCCCAACAAGCTCCTGTGCATCCAGATCCCCCATTGAGCCACCTACACCCAGACTGCCCCACACAGAACTCTCTCACCCCACACCTGGGTCCCCCCACACTAAGCCCCGCCACACTTGTATCCTGGCGGGCTGAGCCAGCCTGCCCACCCCTGGAGTGCCTGGCGCAGAGGGGCAGGACCCTGGGGTCTTTCTGGGACAGTCCTGGCCCTTGCGCTGTGTCAAGGTCAGGTGCACCCTCACCACCGAGTCCCTGTCCTGAGGGGAGGAAGGGAGGGCTCCAGGGTGATAGGCCACTGCCTGGATGGATGTGGGAGGTGCTCCCCACTGCCATGTTGGAGCCTCCACATTTATTTCTTGACAAATAAAATTTGCAGAGTTCTAAAATATATTGTGCACAGAATTTTTATTTTTTTGGCATAAAATTCTCTCTGGAGTACTTAAATCAGATGAGCTCTTTGCTGCTCTCAGACAGTAATTACTGTACCTGGTAGCAATAGGTACACCAAAAGTCAACACTATCCATGTAAAATTCATGCTGGAATATTATATGTTAAACATAAAAAAAAATTCCAAGATATTTTAAAATAGTTCCCTATTTGTATTAATCACCTTAGTTTATTAACATAGATTCTAGGACTGGAAGGGACCTCGAGAGGTCATCGAGTCCAGTCCCCTGCCCGCATGGCAGGACCAAATATTGTCTAGACCATCCCTGATAGACATTTATCTAACCTACTCTTAAATATCTCCAGAGATGGAGATTCCACAACCTCCCTAGGCAATTTATTCCAGTGTTTAACCACCCTGACAGTTAGGAACTTTTTCCTAATGTCCAACCTAGACCTCCCTTGCTGCAGTTTAAGCCCATTGCTTCTTGTTCTATCCTCAGAGGCTAAGGTGAACAAGTTTTCTCCCTCCTCCTTATGACACCCTTTTAGATACCTGAAAACTGCTATCATGTCCCCTCTCAGTCTTCTCTTTTCCAAACTAAACAAACCCAATTCTTTCAGCCTGGCTTCATAGGTCATGTTCTCAAGACCTTTAATCATTCTTGTTGCTCTTCTCTGGACCCTTTCCAATTTCTCCACATCTTTCTTGAAATGCGGTGCCCAGAACTGGACACAATACTCCAGCTGAGGCCTAACCAGAGCAGAGTAGAGCGGAAGAATGACTTCTCGTGTCTTGCTCACAACACACCTGTTAATACATCCCAGAATCACGTTTGCTTTTTTTGCAACAGCATCACACTGTTGACTCATATTTAGCTTGTGGTCCACTATAACCCCTAGATCCCTTTCTGCCGTACTCCTTCCTAGACAGTCTCTTCCCATTCTGTATGTGTGAAACTGATTTTTTCTTCCTAAGTGGAGCACTTTGCATTTGTCTTTGTTAAACTTCATCCTGTTTAACTCAGACCATTTCTCCAATTTGTCCAGATCATTTTGAATTATGACCCTGTCCTCCAAAGCAGTTGCAATCCCTCCCAGTTTGGTATCATCCGCAAACTGGTCTTGGTCTTGAATGGAACTGAAAGGTTAGCAGTAATTCATTTTCCCATGAGATTCTAAACTCCCATTGTGACTTTTATGTAGCTCATACTGAGACAATTTAGGCAGCTGTAATTTAGGGTTTCTGCTTATTTCTTCTTCATTGTCAGAAATTCAGTATAGCTCAAAACCAAAAAAGTGCATTTGTAAGCATTGACATACTTCTACACTAACCTTTATATCAACGTCTTGGTATTAGAGAGGGGAAATTGGATTTTGCCTCATAAAAGTTTCATGGAGTTTTTATGAATTTCCTAAGGACTGATCATAAGATCTCTGAATGGGTGCGCAGTTGAAGGGACAGAGTCAAGTCTGTGAGGCCCAAAATTTAATCTACCAACCCCAAAACCAACATTTTAAAATTGCCATGCTCCCTGAAAAGGTAACCGCTCTCTAAAATGAAAGCTGGAACAAATGTAAACTGCTAGCATCTCAGCTGGGGATCCAGTCACACTGCTACATGGGGCAGAGGACTTCTTTGTCATGGTAGAAGCATGTCCTCCTGGAGAGCTGGAGTCCTGTCCATCCCATGACCCTGCCAGTGCACAAGAGCAGAGGGACACTGTGGCATGGGGTGGCTCACCTGAAAAAGCAACCCAACATCTGTTGCTGCTGGTCTAAATTTAGCTGCACGTTGATTGTACTCTTTTTATTTTTACTTTTTTATCCTTCAAACAATTTGGGCAGTGAAACTAAACATGTTCATTTCACTTTCTGGTTCTAACGATGGAGGGTTTTTTCCTAATATATGCATTTCTAGGACTAAAAGGCAAATTACTTAAATTTCCATGCCTACAAAATTTTTGTAACTGAAATATTTTATTAGTATCACAAAAATATTTGTTTTCATATATGGTTTTGCAAAACTACATTTGGACTATTTCTGGAGGCAGAGAAATCTGGGAAGGGCTCAAAACGGGCAGGTCTATGCTCAAATAAGGACAAACATTCTGGTATACTTTCCATCACCTTAGAGAGAAAACCCCACAGTTAAGATTGTGGGACAAGAAGGGGACAATTTTGAAATAACTTTGGAGATGTTAGGACAGCAGTGAATGTGATGGTGCAATATGAACCTGGGAGCAAGAGAAGTCTGGCTGCTGCATTCTGGACTCTGTTTAGAAAACAGATATTCAGAATGAACATAAAACCAAATTTTGGTTACTGTGCTACAGAATGACAATGGTAGCTAAAACACATCAGAAGTCCTATGAATTCACTTGACTGTACAAAGCAGTCAATTTATCTAAATAAGATAAAGATTCTACCTGAATCTAAGTTTGGCAATGAACTACACATTTGTCTAAACATACGGTGTATAGTGTAATACTATAAAGCTTGAATTTATTATTCTGAAGCTACATACACACTATGCTATCGTCCCGTGTACAGGAATAGAGGTGTGTTTAATATATCCATGAATATTTTGGTGATATTCAATAAAAATTGTCTTACTTGTGTCAGAAGGACAAACTGAGCAAACTGCCAGGGAAGCATGAAAAAGACATTAGAAACACACAGTGCAATCAAGCTTCCTCTATTAATATTCGGAGTCCTTAGGAAAAAAGAAATAAAACAGATACCAGTAAGTTAAACTATAATAGGCCTTTGTATTTCATCCAAAAGAGCATAAGAGAATAGTATCAAAAAATTAAAAATTGCCTTGTAATTGGACTTGCAATATAAATTGACAACTGTGAACAAAACAGTTTAAGTAACTTTTGTATTAATTTCCATAAGAATATATAATATAAGAATAATTAAAATAATTAATTCTGACCCTTGTTATTTCATAGCTCACCTTTTGAAATAAAAGTAGAAGTTGAAGTAAACAAAAAAGTGCTGAGTGGCCCCACTAAGCAAGCCATGATGAACATTCATCTCAAAAACTAACATTTAGTTTAGAATTCCTTTCAGGCTTTATGAAGTGTTCCAACTCTTCAGATTTCTCTAAAGATGCCCAGACTGCCTCATTCTCATTGATGACATGACAGCCAGAATGATGCATTACTCAAGTGACACAGACAAATATTTTGTGCAATACTTCTAGTACAGTATTATAAACACAGGGGATATATCAATGGTATTTGCTGACAAGAGTTCAGAATTTGACCTCACCATATATCATTATTTAATCTCCACTTGTCTACCTACCTATGGGGAATGAAAATATGGCAATTATTTGGGACTATATAGGGCTCTGTCCTCAAGGGTCACTGGCATCACAAAAAGGAATGTCTATGGGAAAAGGAGTAGAAACTTTCTTGCCAATCTGTAACAGTCTGGGAAAACTGAGGCAGCCACCTATGAGGTTCAAAGACTTCTAAGGAAGGACAATCAGTTCCATAAATGAAGAAGAAAACTGCTTCCATGGGACATAATGCAAAAAGAGACGAAGGCCCAGCTCATTCAGACTAAACTGTTCCATCTGCTAGAAGACAGGAAATAAACTAGATAACTCAGCTGCAGCCAGACTTTACATTGGGGTCTAATGTCACAAAAAAATCTTTAATTTCGTCTATTAGGAGGATTATAGTTATAATCACTTGTGTAAATTGACCTACATGTCCTTCCTTAGAAGTTCTTGAGCCTCTTGGATGGTTTCCCGTTTTCCCAAACTGCTGCAAGTCAGCAGGAAAGTTTTCTACTCCTTCTCCAACAGACATGCCCCTTTGTGATGCCAATGACGCCTGAGTGCAGAGCCCTGTAGCCCACGAATGGCTGCCATGCTTCCACTCCTCCACAAGACGACAATTGGGGATGAAATTACATATGAGGCTACGAGGCAGGTGAGGCAATAACTGTATCTAGTTGACACATTCTAATACTTTCACCTGAATTTGCACTGACTCATGGTGTCCTCTGACTCCATTTTTCAATTACCTCAGTGATCAAATAAATATTTCATATTGAAAAAGCATCAAAGTTTCAAAATGCCCCCATGGATTTTGTCTGAGTCACAGGGACAACCAATTAAAGTTTCATGGAAGAGCCATCTTCTGGCCATCTTTCATCTGTTGTGGAGAACTGGAACCTTGCCAACCAGTTAGAAGGACGGTACTGTGATCTCACTTTATAAGGGCAAGGGACTGAGCAGTGAATGTAAGAGCTACAGGCCGATCACCTTATTGTCCATGCCAGGGAAGGTGTTTGCACCTTCTGTTCTGCTGACACGTTTGGAGCCCCTGCTCAGTGTTGCCCCCAACAATCAGACTTTACGAGGAACAGTTCCACATTAGATGCCACCAGCCTTCCGCTTGTTGTCAGAGATACACCATGAGTTCAAAACCCCCTGCACGTAGCATATGTCGACCTTATGGACGCATTTGATTCAGCTGACCAAGTCGCACTATAGAAGGCCTTAAAGGGCGTAGGTGTCCCAACCCTCTGCTGGACTTCATTAGCGAGCTGCATAATGGAACCATTGCCCATGGACATCTGGAGAATCGGATGTCAGCACCTTTTAAATCAGTATCTGTTGTCATGGAGGGCTGTGTCTTGGCCCTGCACTCTTTTGTTGGGCAATGGATTTCATAATGAAGCCTCCTTTGGACTTCAGAATAAGCACATATCAGGAATAAAATCCTTTCCTCCATTATATTGAGGAGGCACTTCCTTTACGGCCCCTAACTGCACCAGAGTCTGCACTTCCTGAATTAGTATAACCTTGTGAGAGCGTTCTGTGAAAAGGGTCAGGGAAGGGGGCAGGAGGAATGGAGGAATATACGTGAATTGCAGGATATATCCCAGTTCCAGCATGCTTAGAGTATCTGATGTAATGTGGGTCCAGGCATTTAGGAAGTGAGACAACCTATTGCCAAAGGGAGAGAAGATCTCTGGGGTGGTTTGCTGCCCTGGACCAAAGAATCAAAAAGACTGCTTAGAAGTTTAAAGTTGTCTCAAGGACGCAGAAGTTGAAGGAGGTGGAGAAGGTGGTCTCTTCTTTTGATACCTAGGATGCCTTCTAGAGCTTTTGGGCTGTCTCACTGGGTAGTCCAGATACCTCTGCTGGGCCTGAGGCCAAAACTGCTTCTTTATTATAGCAGGGATATAAATATCCATTGATTTTAGGTTATCCTGGAATCTTTTGAGTGTTCAGAGCTTCCTCTGTTTTGCCCCAAAACAAATCTGAACCTTCAGAGGGTGTGGGACTTCAGCTGGTACACTCGATACCTGGTGCCATGAAACAAGGTGCATAGTGATGGCTGTCACGAGTTGCTGAGTCGGTTTCATCTAGAACAGCCTCTGGACTCAAGTGGGCAAACAACCCTCACTTATAAAAATCTTAAATTCCTTGTTCACTTTATCCAGTAGCTTGTTCTGAAATTTAGGTCTCTAAAGCACAAAGGGGAAGTGTGAGGCATTCAGACGTGTTATGACTACTGATAATGGGCGGAGAAGGAGGGGCCAGGGCAGCTCTGCCCCCCCGCCCTTTATGCTCTTGGCAATTAGCAAAAGCACACGTAGGGCTCATGAGCCCTCCCCAAAGGGTATTGCTATGGGAAAACGTTAGCCAACTCTGGTGCATTGGTGCCCACACATCTAGGGTGGAATGACAAGGGCAAACACTCAAAGAATCATATATATGATTTCTGGTTTGTACAGTAAGGCTGTGTCTAAACTAGGAGTTTATTTCATTACCAGTGTTACTAACACCAATGTAGCTCCACTAGCCCAGTGTTAAAAATGTTGTGATAATGGGAGCCTAGCCTAAACCACTAGTATCACTATTACTACCAGTGGTGGAGACCCTTTGGTGTTAGCAATAACGGGTAATGTCTGAGGGGAAAAAAAAACTAGTATGTACAAGACCATAGCCTCTAAATAAATGCACTGTCTCAGGGATTCTGTTTTTTAAACTCTTCACTCTTAATAACCACACATAAATTGGAAGCTACCTGAGAATGTAAGTCAAAAGCAACATCTGAAGCACAAGGAATGGGTATGAGAAACTTTCACGAAGGGGTGGAGTCCACATCACACGCGTGCACTGAAAATAAGAACTGAATTAGTTCATAGTATGTTCTGCTACATTTTCATTCCCCCCCCCCGCAAAGCAATGAATTTATGATTTTAAATGATCAACTACGGAAACTGAAATGGTACAAAAACAAACTAGATGAAGACTCAGTCATAAGTCAACAAAATAGTGCTTTATAAGACAAGATACAAGAGATGGAAGGAAGGAGCATGCATGCTTGAGTGAAGATACAGCTTTGGGTCTTTAATAGTTGAGGGCGGAGAGGGTTTAACCACTACTACTGGCTCCTTCTCTTGATATGAGAGAACTACAGTGGGAACGATATCTTACTCTTGCAAAAACAGAAATCTGACAGCTTAGGAGCAGTTTTGTCCACCAAGAACAAAGATGCCAAAGTAGCACAGATTCTCCTCACCTCCACTTATTTATTATGGCCATATCTTGCAATCTCTTATTTACAAAAACAGTCTTTGCTGAAATCAATTAATTATGCATGTGAATAAGGACTACTCAAACAGCAAGACTGCAACTAGCTAATATAGCTACACATAAAAAAGAGTGCGGGGAGCAGGGTGAGAGGCATAAGCCAACACACCTGTATATGCCTACGTTAAGTCTCCCACACTGTGGCTCAGGCATGGAGAGAAGAAAGCAGAGACTGTGCACCCAACAGCTGTGTGGAATGTACAGAAACTTGGCTCTGCCCACCAACACACAAGCCAGTAACATTGAGCAGCTGAAACTAAGTGTACCTGTTACATAGCTGCTGTAAATTACTCCCCACACCGCAGAGCAAGAGATTAGAAGGCAAACCAATTGTGATGGAACCACAATTTCTTCTCAGAATGCTTTTGGGGTAGCAAAACATGTAGCTGTGCCACCCCACATGGGCTAGGTTGAGCCTTTAGGCTCAGCCCTACACAAGGATTTGCAGAAATCAGATCCTTGGTTTTCAAAAGTCAATTCCACCCAGGAGTTAACTAAAACTTTATATATTTGAATATTTCTTTGCAGCATTTTTCCATTTCAAATTAATGCAATTATACACAAGAGGCTTCATGTTACTTCAACTTTTGAAAGATGTTCCTTCTGATACATTAGCAATTTAACTGTGTTATAAAATTTTGTTTGAAAGAAACCTGCTGTAAGATGTACTACAAATTCAATACAGTATCTAAATATAAAACCTTTTAATAACATGAAATATACAAGCAAAGCTAGAAGAAAGCTGTTTGTTGGTAATTAAACCTATCAGGTACATATTTTCCCATCCAACATTTTTAAAAGTAATCTTGAACAGACAAAGTACATCTCTCCTTCATATACATTTACTGTGGCAATGGAAGGGGAATGTCTTTAATGGACTTCTACTAATACCGAGACTTTTACTGAGGAACCGCTGGTAGAATCAAAGGGTTTCTATGGACTTTTATTCTCACGTTAACTTACGTATCATCAATATTCTCTCTCTACCCCCATCTATGTCTGTCTTGATCAATAACTGATTCGACTGCATAAGGTATGGTACCATTTAGCCTGCAGCAAGAGTATGTGTATCGCAATCAACAGGGGCCTAAGCTCCCCTCTAAATTTGACGTTACTCTCCAATCATACTTAAGAGGCCAATTAGTGCTATATGTACTGTGCTCCCACACAGCAGCAATTCCCAATATCAGAGAAAACAGTGAAACAGAGTACGAGCCCAAAGGCAGCTCAAACTTGGCAGAATGTGGAGGAACAAATTTAAGTTGTTAGATGTCCTCTACTAACACGCAATACAGGAGGACACAGAGTTCAAGGGACAGATGCTGTACAAAGGAGGCAGGAGAGAGGTAGAGAATTTAAACAGAGAAAGTGCTTTAATCAAGGGAAGAGAACAAAATCCAGATTTAAGGAATGAAAATGATTATGAAATATTAAAACATCAGCTGAAAAAAGGAAGCACACACAGATGGAGTGGTAGGAACAAGCTGTTGAAAACAGGCAAAACTAGAAAATAAAAACAGTTTATTGAAAAGAAGATATGAAGAAAAGAAAAACATTTTAAAGTGCAGTTCCACTCAGTATAGTGACTAAACACAGCACTGTGCTGCTCCATGTTTGTCCTTAATTTCCAAATCAAGTGTGTTCAATTGACAGATTTTTTTTCCCCTTCTCCTTTTTATTTATTTTAACTGTCAGCCATGCAAACAACTACTGATCAGGGTCAGCCTGGATTCTCTCTTACTCTTGCATCACCGAAGTAAAAAAAGGATCTTTAGAGCAAATTATTTCCCCAGTTCATAACTGTTCATCCAAATTACCTTCAAATTAAACCCTCAGTAATATCTGTATAACCCCATTAGTCTTCAAATGATTTTTAACAGGTGTAATCAACTGGAACTTAGTAAACAATTCTTTTAAGAATTAGCAAGCAGGAACTGAATCACGCTCACTCTCAGCTGTATTGACTCTACAGCACAAACATATAAACGCTTATTTTTTGGTGAAGTAAGTGGATATTATGTTAAAAGCACATATACTGTTAAGTGCTTTCATTTTTTAATTATTTTTCAGAGTAGTGCCACACTTAAAATGTACCTAACCTGCAAGATACAGAAAGAAAAAAGTAAAAAAGTAGTAAAAGCAAAAAGTGATACATAGGATGAGCAACCAAAAAAAGGGAGCATTTACCTTATTGCTATATTGACTTTACCATGAGTTGTGCCATTTTCCTATGCTTGAAATGTAATATCGCTGTAAGGTAAATGTTTCTTTTTCAAGATAGCCCAAAGCAGCACATTAATATTTTATTTTATGCCAAACAGTTATTTGATATAACACACAGACACCAGACACACACACACACGTATGTGACTCCTTTAGCATTTTGTTGAAGCTATAACAGTGTTAATCTGTGGTCAAGGACAGTGGCACCCACAGCTGTATGCATGTTACACATGGTGCATGCCATTGGCAGGGAACCCAGGGCTCAGGCTGCTGGAAGGTGCAGCTGGGCAAAGTGCCAGCGGGGAGCCCTGGCACAGAAGCCAGGCCTACAGCAGCAGAAAGAAGGAGCAGTGTTGGCTGACTCACTGCCCACTCGGATTTGGCCCTGCAGCCCGTCATGACAGGGAGGCGGACGATCAGACCAATACTGAGTGAGTGCCATTGCAACCTGGTGCATGGGGGTCACAGTGCCACTGAGGTTTGGCCCGTGGCTTCTCTATCATGACAGGCGGACCTCAGGGCCAAAACTGAGTGGGCAGTGGAGCAACCAGCACTGCTCCTCCTCACCACAGCCAGGGGATTGGCTCCTGCATCAGGGCTCCCCCGCCAGGGGCCTGCTTAGCTTTGCCCCACTTCCAGCGGCTGTGTCCCCTCTGCTCTGCCCGCAGGACTCACTAGCGACAGCCTCAAGACCTGCTAGTACAGGGAGATGTGGGGAGTGCCCACATCGAGGAGCTGGCCAGGAGAAAGGTGGTGGGGAGGCCTGAATGAGGCAGCCACAAAGGGGTTTGGTTTTGTGAACTATGTGAAAAATTTCTGTGTGCACCTCTGAAGAAGGAACTAATTAGAAAAGTCAAAGGACAATAGTTAACTTCCATGGTGGGGTGCGGCACATTTATACCTGTCTGCTACCCTTAGGAATCAAATGTTTTTAGAACTTGAGAAGCTGTGCCTGTCCCACACAAGTGAGAATCCTGCACAAATGGTATCTTCAGAGAATAATTATTTTTGAACTTCCATTTGAAAGATATTGTATTAGCCATTTAGCATCTCGGGTTTTTAATTAATCTTAAAAACAAGACTATTTCAATAACATCTGACATCCATTATCAAGTAGTTAAAGAAGCTCTAATGCAATTAAATGTAGTTGAACATATTCAAAGACCTTTACCAAGCTCAGCTGAGTAAACTGGAAAAGGCAAAACTAGTTTAAACTCAGGATGGAGCCATATGGCAACTAGATTCAATCTGAACAACAAGACACAAAGGTAAGCCAGGCAAAAAACAATTTCTAACCTTCCGTACCTGTTGTTCTTCAAGATGTGTTGCACATCTTGAAGTCATATCTGCCCAGCAGGCCTGCTGGTTTGCAATCCTAAACTGCAACCCCCCTCCAGTAGAATAAACCTTTCTTACAGAATAAATCCAATTTCTTGGGGTCCTTTGCTATAGGTGTTGCACCTTGATGACCCTGCCTTTCTCTTCCAATGGCAGCAGATACACCAGGGAGCTGGATGCGGAGGGGTAAGATGAGTGTACAAGAACTCATAGCTATGGGCAGGCAAAAAGTATTTCCGCTCAGCTCTTTTTAATGTGGGGGGAAGGGAAGCAGAAGTCTGCCACAGGGCTTTAACAGGGTCCATAATGGCCTCATTAAGAGGCAGGGCTACTTTTGATGGGCCTGCCACCACTAAAACGTCAACCAGACTATGGGAGGACTCCTTCACTACCTCTTGGTGAGCCCTATAGTCATCCTGGGGAGGTGACATGCCCACTCCTGACACGGCCTCATCAGGGGAGGAGGAGGCCAGCACCAGCTGAGGACACTCTTCCTTCCTTTCCACATCAGAGGGTCCTGCAGAACCAGTTCCTGAAACCCAGCACTGGGTTCAGTACCCAAGTCTGGATTGGATGTTGCCCAATGGGGCGGTGGTGCTCTTCTTTCGGAGGCCACCAAATAGTAGCATCTTGAATAGGATCCCTTAATTGAGGGGAAACCCCCACAGGTTCCAAAATGTACCAAATCAGTGCCAAATCTGACCAGCTCAGCTTGGAGGAAGGTCTCAACACCGCCTCCATGAGTAAAAATTTCAGCCTGGCCTCCTGGTCCTTCTTCGTGCGAGACTTAAAGTCCCTGCAGATCTGGCAGCAGTCCCTGATGTGAGCCTCTCCCCAGCACTTCAGGCAACTAGCGTATGAGTCACTTGGAGATATAGCATTGTTGCAGGAGGCACAGGGCTTGAAGCCCAGTGACCAGACATGCCTCAGCACCAGGTAACGGACCAAACTCCGCTAACTAACTGACCCTGACACAAACTACACTAAATTGACTAAAAACTGACTATTTACAACTATATACAATTATAGGGAAAGGAAGACCACTGAGAAAGCTTGCTGAAGCAAGAATAATTCCAGCGACTGTCATGGGCAGTAAAAAGGATCTGAGGGGGCACAAGGTCGGCTGGGCGCTTAATACAAGCACTATGTGTGCACAGCACCAGAGGACACTTGAGCTGCCCCAATGGGTACCACTGAGGGGAAAAATCTCTGGTGACTGTGCTCAGGGTGCGCAAACACCTACAGTGGAATGCACACGTACAATCACTCGAAGAACACCACATGTTTCTAAGTAAAAAACCAGAAACATAGCCAAAGGGCACTTAAAATCATTTATTCTTTCAAAACACAAGAGAGATGACAATAGTGGTAGAAAAAAAAATCAGATATTTTGGACTAAACAAATCTTTTTCTAAAGGAATAAAGCTTTTTCCAAAAGCTTAGCATTATTTTTCTGCATAGACGTAGACAGTTTCTAAATAAATATGTTGCCTGATAGAGACTATAGTAGACTAATCATTAGTATACCGACAGAAAATACGTTCAGCTGTGGCTATCTGAACCCTGAATTATCTATTATGTATTCACTATGTACCCTTCCTGACTTTCAGATAACTAAAATGATATTGTATAAAGAAAACTTGCTCCATTTGTGCGTTTCTGAAGAAAGATATATTGTGTTTTGTAAAATTATGAGGGATTGTTAGAGGAGGTATCTGGAAGGATACTGATGGGCAACAGTGGTGATTGTCGAACAAACAAACTCTCATTGTGTCAGTGATAGTGTGATTTTTAGAGGTTTCTACATGCACCTCGAGATTGAAAAGGTGCAGTTTTTTAAATAGGAGAAATAAATATTCTAGACATCAGAATGAACACATTTATTTATGAAATCTCTACTGACCAGAGGGTTCAAGCCACATTTCCAAGATGTTAAGGCACCTAAAGATGCAGGTTCTCAGTGAAACTTTCAAAAGCACCTATGCTGGTGAGGCACCTCACCTACTCACACGCTTTTGAAAATTCTACCAGGTGCTTACCTGCATCTTTAGGCACCTAAATACCTTTGAAAATGTGGTCTAAATGCCATATAGAATAATACAACCGTATGAATATACATCGAACAACTCTATGTTCGGCACAAGAAAGTTAATGCAACATTAGGGACACATTTTAATAGCGCCAGTCATGGTATTCAAAGCTACAATTTGCGTTCTTACAGCAACAATAACTATGCAAACATAGTTTGAAATCCTGGCCCCTGAGAAGTCAATGGGAATTTTCCCACGGACTTCACTGGGGCTAGGGATTTCACACATAGTATTGTCTTCTGAATTTACTTCTTGGGTGGAGATGGAAATCAGTTTTTAATTTCCTGATTTTTGTGCAATTAAAATCTCAACCTGACACATACATCAGGCTATGTTTCTCCACAACCCACTTCCAATACCATCTCCTTTATATTTAAGAGGGAGAAAAGGGAAGCCAGAAGAATATTATTCAAATAAAAACCACTGACTACACTTTTATGGAAAGCTCTCACAATTATATTCAAATAAACTTGCTTGGATTATATTAATAGGCAGTAAGAATGCTACTGGTCTAAATTCAGTTTAAGGGCATTAGTAGAACAAACTAACCAAGAATGCTAAGCCAGCCTCAGAAAATAAGAAATGACTAACTAGTATTCATGTTTCTAGGTTCCAACATTTCTTATATGTTCTACTTTCCCTCATTAAAAAAAAAAGTTAGCTGAAAGAGAAATGACAATACTAGTTACTGAGATTGCTGTTTAGTTATGAAGGAGTTTAAAGTAGGGGATTTCTATTCAGAGTTTATCTACATGTAGGTATACGGGAAATGAAAACTGAAATTGTGTAAAAAAAAGCTGTTTCTATAATGGCATCTTAAATACCACAAAAAGTTTACATTCACAGGTACTTTCAAAATACTACATATTTTCCTTTTCAATGTTTTCTTACCTTTAAGCATAGGCTAAGATGTAAAGTACAAGCATTCTCTATTTTTAAGTAAAAAATCACACACCTGATTTAGTCTAAAACAATCAAAAATTTCAGTCTAAAAGACCTACCTCCCCATGATTGAAAAAGTAGCACAATACCGTAACTAGACCTCCTAGACGGCTCCCACTGTGAAAAGAAAATGAAAAGTGAGTGCAACAGAATTTCATAATGTAATATCTTCTGAAACCCAAATTCACAAGATTTGTCCACACCCCAGAATATTTAATCTTTCACTTTTAAACATAGTGACAGACTTTTAAAAAAAATTATATTTTTTTTTTTTTTGAGGGGAGGAGGTAGAAGAGAATTACAATGTAAACCAGTTAAGAGCCTAGATAGGCAAACCAATATTAGTTTTGGAACAGTCCACCCTTGTATTGCATCTCTTCCCTGCAGAACTCCTCTGAATTTTCCTTACCTTTAATACACATCCAGTGGAATAATCTGGTTACCTAGCTCTGCTGCAGGCTTTCCTCTTAGACCAACATTTTTAGAGGCAGCAACTAATTATCTGTTGGTCTTTAAGGTGCCACCGGACTCCTCGTTGTTTTTTTGCAACTAATTAGGTGTTCCTCATTTTCTGAGTGTCCAAAACTTGACATATCCAGAGCCTGATTTTCAGAAGTGCTGAGCATTTGCAACTTCAGCTGATATCAATAGGAGCTGCAGATTCTCAGCACCTCTGGGGGAAAAAAATAATCGGGTCCTAGGTGTCTCAGTTTGGGCACCCAAAAAATGGGCACTCAAAGTTGGTGGACACTTTTGCAAATTTTGGTGTGAATCTGTGCCTTGTGATGAACTGGGGCTCTCTATGTACAACTTATGAATTCTGGTTGATATTGTGAAGTTCTATTACAAAAAACTGATGTATTATGAGTACCTATATGTATATAGATCTACCACTGCTGACAGGTCCTGTAGCAGGTACACAACAGACAGATACCATGAGGAATGCTTAGGACTCAATGACTAAAGCTGTGAGTCTGTCACAGAGGTCTCGTAAGTCATGGATTCTGTGACTGTCCTGGACCTCTGTGACTTCTGCAGTGGTGCCGGTGCGACTGACCAGCCACTGCTGGGGCAGTCTTGGGCCACCCCCCGCCCCCGCAGCGCTCCCGGGCTCCCCCCAGCACCTATGGCTCCCCCTCTCTAGAGCACCCGAGATTTAGTCACATATAGTACAAGTCATGGACAGGTCACAGGTTGTGAATTTTTGTTTATTGCCCGTGACCTGTCCATGACTTTTGCTAAAAATACCCCTGACTAAATCTTAGCCTTATCAATGACCATATTCAGGTGCAAACACCTGGGACAATGGGCGAGCTGCACCCTTAGAAAAACCATGCTAGCTGACTCCTCAGAAGAGAGAGGGGAAGGGAGAAGCAGTGCAAACTTACCAGTAGAAGAACAGGCCAGCTGACCAGGAGGGGTTTAAACATACACACACACACTGGAACAAAGAGTGTGACAGGAAGAGGAAGCCTGGGGAATGAGGAAGGTTGCACAAGCTGGGTATACAAGAGGGAGAAATGCAGGCTGTTGCATATGGATAGTTTGAGGAGGGGGCTTCCTGAATGCCTGCTGCCTTCTGTACCCATATGGTTCCCCAAGGGCTCACAAAGGAAGGGTGAGCTAGTGAGGAATATTGTGGTTTCAGATGTTTGTTATTTTGTCTGATCTGTACTCTCTGGTGCTTTACATGATTAAGTAAAGAGCATAAATGTGTTAGACCCTATGCAATGTATGAGTGTGTGTTCAGTTTCACAACTGCTGCACGTTCCTGAGAGTTAAAACGTAACTAGAAGCTTCACATATTTTGGGTAGAGTCCTTGGAGAAGGGTATGTTTAAGTAACTGGGTTATCTCAGGGGCCAGCATTCGTCCAGGGGCCTAGGGCAGATGAGCTGAGATCCATGCTTTCCATGAAAGCATAACAGACTGAGTCTATGCCCAGGAAATGTGCCAGAGGAGCCAAAGGAGGAAACAGGGCTGCACCCCACTGAGACCTTGTAAGAATCAAGAGCAACAGAGGCTTGGATTTCACTCACAACAGCCCTAGTGAGTGGCATGAGGTGGCGCTTCCTAGGATATGACACTCCTCATTTTCCCATTTGCAAAGTGAGGGATAATATTTCCCTACTTCAGAGGTATTAAGATGATAAATTCATTAATGTTTGGGAGGCACTCAGGTGGCCATGCTAATGGGCACCACAGAAAAGTTCATGAAAAAAAATAAAAGCAATATCATATTCATTGCAGCATTTGGATGGCATGAAGTAAATGAGGCATGGGATCCACACACTGAATGTTGAGTATAAAGAGAAATCATTGCCAGCTGCCTCCTTTGCTGAGCACAGTACATCCTGTGTCTTGAATGAGATCTAATTAGATTGTCATAATGAATATACACAAGGGGCAGAATTAAGATTGCACTGACTACATGAAATCTGGTATTTTCTAACATTTGAGTACTTGACTTCACGGCCTTCTCATCATTCTTTCACATTTTTTCTAAATGGAGTATACTACAAACAGAGTTCCATGGGAGTGGAGTAACGTGAAAACCATCAGCCTATAAGCTAAATTATATCTTTCCTCAGCAATGACAGACTGCATGAAAGCCTAACTGAAAACTTGTATCAAAGGCTCAGTCAGGCCATCGTGATCATCTAGTCTGACCTCCTTTGCAGGTCACAGAACCTCACCCACCCAACTCCTGTAATAGACCCCTAACCTCTGACTGAGGTACTGAAGTCCTCAAATCATGATTTAAAGACTTCAAGTTACAGAGAATTCACCATTTACACTAGTTTAAACCTGCAAGTGACCTGTGCCCCATGCTGCAGAGGAAGGCAAAAAATCAGGGTCTCTGCCAATCTGACCCAGTGGAAAATTCCTTCCCAACCACAAATATGGCAATCAGTTAAACCCCAAAGCATGTGGACAAGACCTACCAGTCAGACACCCAGGAAAGAATTCTCTGTAATAATTCAGAGCCCTCCCCATTTAGTGTCCCGTCTCCAGCTGTTAGGGATTTTTGCTACTGGCAGTCGCAGATGGGCCACATGCCATTGTAGGCAGTCCCATCAGACCATGCCCTCAATAAACTTATCAAGCTCAGTCTTGAAGCCAGTTAGGATTTTTGCCCCCACTGCTCCCCTTGGAGGACTGTTTCAGAACTTCACTCCTCTAATGGTTAGAAATCTTCACCTAATTTCGAGCCTAAACTTGCTGATGGCCAGTTTATATCCATTTGTTCTTGTGGCCACATGGGCACTTATGTTAATTAATTTCTCTCCCTCCCTGGTATTTATCCCTCTGATGTATTTAGAGAGAGCAATCATATCTCCCCTCAGCCTTCTTTTGTTTAGGCTAAACAAGCCAAGCTCTTTGACTCCTCTCATAATGTAGGTTTTCCTTTCCTTGGATCATATCTGTTCCCTTCCCTGCACCTGTTTTAGTTTGAATTCATCTTTCTTAAACATGGGAGAGAACAATTGCACACAGTATTCCAGATGAGGTCTCCAGTGCCTTATAAAAGGGTACTAGCACTTCTCTCTCTCTCTCTACTGGAAATACCTTGCCTGATGCATTCTAGGACGGCATTAGCCTTTTTCTCAGCCCCATCACATTGATGGCTCATAGTCATCCTGTGATCAATCAAAACACCCAGGTCTTTCTCCTCCTCTGTCACTTCCAACTGATACATCCCCAGCTTATAGCAAAAATTCTTGTTGTTAGTTCCTAAATTCATGACCTTATACTTTGCACTATTACTATGTTTATTACTCCAGTTTACAAGGTCATCCAGATCTTCTTGTATGATATTCCAGTCCTCCTCTGTATTGGCAATACCTCCCAACTTTGTGTTATCCACAAATTTTATTAGCACACTCCTTGCTATTGTCAAAAATAAGACCACATTTTTAGCTTGATGCCTACCCACCAGTCATAGGTTCTGGAACACCTGTCAATTGAAATTATATTCAAAATTATTTCATAGATTTATTCATGGTTCAAAGCATTGCATTCCTTCTGAAAATTCAGACTGAAACTGTGCAAAGTGCAAACAGTTTTCCTTTGAAGACAGATTTTAGAGTTCATAGAACATGATAAATGCTCACAGAAGATCTAAATGACTTCAAAGTTTCATTCACAAACATGTATCCAAACAAAACACTAAAAGGTATAAAGGTCAGCACAAAGACAACAGTAGCGGTGCTGAATATCTATAAATCACATTGATACCTTCCACACTAATAGAAATTTGTGCTACAATTAATGATAGCATGTGTTTGTAAAGGCATCTGGATATATTTTGAGAAAGAATACTAGTCAAAACCTGTCAATTGTTTGATATTTTAAGTCAGAAGCTAAAAAGCAAAGACTGCATCTGAAAAACCAACAAGATTTGCAGGATTTATGATTGAAAGCAGTGTCCAACTGAGTAGATACAAGTGGTGTAGCTCCATTGACTTCAGCGATGTTATGCTGATTTATACCAGCTGAAGGATCTGGCCCCACTTTCCTAGCTAACTGGTTGAAAATGGTGAGTAATTTTCCATCCATAATAGAAACTGCTTTATTGAGAACCTGAGTAACATGTTTACAATTTCTAAATTAGCAGAAATGGAAATTAGAACGTATACTTTACCAACACTCTGAAAAAATACGAGTTTATTTTGCAAACCTATTGTGGAAAAATTGTGTAATTCAGGAGATATTAATACTGATTTCTGGCTTTCCAAAGTTAACCAAACCATATGGTTTTCTGTGAAACAAGGTATACAAGCAGAAATGAAAAGAACATGTGTTGTCATTCATGATATAGAGCATGAGTAAAAGATTAAAACAATGGAAAAACTAGCAATAGCACTGAAGCAAAGAATAATCCTAGGATTTTGTAACTGAACCATGTGCACAGACATTCACATTTTATAGCATAGCCAGTAGCGATGGGATGAAGCAATGGATGGTTCTGAGGAACGTTAACGGGAAAAAGGAACTTTGCAACACACCAACTGTCTGTTGCCAGTTCAAAGCCAGGGGCCATCCAAGACCTGTTTATTGGCCTCCACAAAACTAATTTTGTGGTCACAACCTACTCTGACCGAAATGTCATCACAT